CTTTGTACCTACCTTGACTGCTACCTTGAGCCTAGCTTGAGCCTGGCGGAAAAGGTGAAAAAGTACATCTTGTCATCCTCATTCACCTGACATCCCATGTACCATGCTCCGAACTCTGGTGCTTGTGGAATTTGATGTTGATGTAATTCTCAACTCTCTTTTAAGACTAGAAAGAAGGGGGCTCATTCCTTCTTTTTTTCGATTTTTCGAATGACTTTAAGAAACGAAAACAAGAAACGAGGGGGGTGCTAGGTCGCCCACTCCGCAGTCCGGCGGGCGCTGGATGGAAACGTGCAGGTGGGTTTCTGTCAAGGAAAGCAATAAAGTCGAGAGAGTGGCTTTTGACCAATATCGCGCACCTTTGGACACCAAATTTTTTCTGCCTTCCATAGTACGCCAAGGTGGTTGCAAGTCAAGGAACACCTGCGTCTGTTCAACTGGAGGAGGCCTCAGACCGGCTGAGAGGCTTGGAAGCCTCATCTGAGGCTCGAAGATGATGTTGTGTGTGACCATTTAAACCTCAACGTGCACTTCAATGGAGAAGACGAACTGACGTTCACAAGGCTTTCGCTGGCATCGGCCTTTCCTAAGTTCCGGGCCGGCGCAACACGCTTAAATACCTCCGTCCAAAAACCAAGCCCCAAAGTTCTCATTCTGCAATGTCTGCGCAACCACAGAACACGTTGTGGTCAACTTGAAGCGTGACTGCTTTCCTCTGGCTTCGCCAGGATGGGCCTCCACAGTTTGCAGTTCTGCTTCACTGCAACAGTACAAAGAGGCGCGCGCAGCTGCTCGGACAAGCCCCGTGCGCTCAGGATTGCTGTCCAAAGTTACAAGGCGAGCAAGGGCAGGGGCGCATGTTGGAAACGTGCATACCGGCGGCAGCGGTCCGAGGTAGTTGCCAGCATTGTTGAAGGCGGGGAGCGCCTCATAGCAGAAGGTCAGCATCCACCAAGCCGATGCCCCCGTGCACTGGAGCCCAAGGCCTCCTCAACAGCCCAGGCCCCCACATCCATGCCAGACCACTTGCGGTGGAGTTTGTAGCGACTTTTCCAGTTTGCCTTTTGGCCTCTGAAGTCAATGTCCGTCTGTCTGTGAGAAGCGTTGTTGAGACCCTGGACCCCACCCGCAGGGTTCTGGGTCACGCTTCTCCACTACCAACACAGGTTAGGTCATGCAGTGTGCGTTGACTGAACTTTTGAATTTAGTGCCATCGACCCTGGTTTTTGCCAGGGCCAAGTATTTTGGAGCAGCAAGTGCTTGCGTGTGAGAGAGAGACAGAGTGTCTGTGAGTGTGTGAGGAGTGTGATGAGAGAAGTGAGAGTGAGAGTGAGAGTGAGAGTGAGAGTGAGAGTGAGAGTGAGAGTGAGGGTGAGAGTGAGAGTGAGAGTGAGAGTGAGAGTGAGAGTGAGAGTGAGAGTGAGAATGAAAGTGAGAGTGAAAATGGGAGTGAAAGTGAGAGTGAGAGTGAGAGATGAGAGAAAGTGATGCAGTGACGGGCAGCGGAGGAGTGGTGAAATCCTAGGCAGTAGGCAGTAGGTAGTAAGTAGTAGGTAGTAGGTAGTAGGTAGTAAGTAGTAAGTAGGTAGTAGGTAGTGTAGGTAGTAGGAAGTAGGAAGTAGGAAGTAGGAAGTAGGTAGTAGGTAGTAGGTAGTAGGTAGTAGGTAGTAGGTAGTAGGTAGTAGGTAGTAGGGTTGTAGGTAGTAGGTAGTAGGTGGTAGGTGGTAGGTGGTAGGTAGTAGGTGGTAGGTAGTCGGTAGTCGGTAGTCGATAGTCGGTAGTCGGTAGTCGGTAGTCGGTAGTCGGTAGTCGGTAGTCGGTAGTCGGTAGTCGGTAGTCGGTAGTAGGTAGTGGGTAGTGGGTAGTAGGTAGAATGCTTGTCTATGAAGCAACAAAGGTTCATGCTGCGTTTCATGCAACCAGGCCACAGGTATGGCACTGCGCCATTTAGAAGGCTGCTGTTCCAACGGCCAACTTCCAACGTGAAACAAAAATCACATAGAGCTCTGCAAGACTCATCGGCGATATAGCAACACACCAGCTTTGTCCTTGAAGAAACTCATGAAGTTTATATAGGAAAGGCGGCGAAAGAATAGTATCATTGTACATGCGGGCCACAGGCCAGTGGATGTCAATGCTGCACCAACCTCGACATGCAACTGCCTTTCAGGAACCACAGCCACAGATTGTAGCTTCTTGAGTGCCCTTGCGAAGTTTGCAAAAGATTAAACGGCAGACGCGATTTGCGTTGCTGTACCGTGTAAACGCATATACGCTTGCTGAGCCAACAAGTGGAGACGAAAACCCGGCTGCGTTTGATCCCTTTGTACTGCCTTTGCAGCCTCATCTGCTTGTTCATTGTAATAGGCTGTCCATAATGCAAAAGGCGTATCCTGTATACGAAAGTCCCTGTGCGATTCCACATGAACAATTTGCCACTCAAATGAAGCTTCGATTGCAAACGTGCCCATAAGAAACGCCAAAGGCCAAGGTTTTTCTGTTTACTCCAGAATGTTTCTGACCAACCTTCTGCTCGGAGCCTTTTGACACCTCGTAGAAGCTAGGGCTTTTTGGGTTTAGAGTTTCGGGGTTTTTAGGGGTTAGGCTTTGGGTTTAGGGCCCAGGTTTTCGGGGTTTAGGTTTAGGGGTTTTAAGGCAGGGTATTTTGGGGTTCATGGTGTTAAGGGTTTAGGCCTTGGGGCTTAGGGGCTTTGGGCTTAGGGTTTTAGCGTTTAGGGCTTTCTGGGTTTAGAGTTTAGGGTGTTTAGGGTTTAGGGCTTAGGGTTTTTTCGGGTTTAGGGTTTTTTCGCGTTTAGAGTTTTGGGGCTACCCTGGCGATAGACCCTATCTCGAAAAGCGTAGACTCTGACCCGTATGCCGTGTCAACTTGTCTTCTTAAAAAACAATAACCGGAACTGTGCAAGTATGACTTGCGTGCCAATTTCAAGGCCTTCTTGATCGAACCCCCTTTTGGAGTTTGCAGCCGAGGGTTCCGATGCCCTTGAGATGCTGGGAGTGGAAGAATGGCGGTGGCCGCGGTTTTACCACATGTCGCCCTATGTCTGTATGTTTGCCGAGTTCATGTCGTAGCAGTGCATGTCATGTAAACATGAATGTCACACTGTGAAGTTTCGGTGGTGGGTTCTATTCAGATTGTTGTTTCCTGCCGGAAATTCCGTGAAATTTGCACACGTAGCCAAGCAGTCATTTGTTCGTTCATGCGAAAGGCGGTGTTTTGACATCAGGCGGTGTTTTGACATCATTTGTGGTTACTCATGCTAAAGCAGGTGCAAGATGAGCACGTATGTGCCAGGGTTGAAGCAGTTCTTTGAACGTAAAACTTTTGCATTGCGTTCTTCTAGTAGCAATGATTCTGACTCTCGCAAAGGAATTCACCACGCCGTTCGCGCTGGAAGCTGTCCTTCCTGCCCCAACGTAAGAATGATGTTGCAGCAAGGGCACCAAGCACGCCGAGTAAACCAAAAAGGCCACATGTGAGCGGCGACCAATTGCGTGACAGGTATGAGAAGTAGAACGCATCATGTGCATGTACATGTGATGAATGTGCGTTGACAACGCTGGATCAACCGGGTCCTTTAGCGATCAGCAACGACTTGCTGGACATACCTTGTGCGTTTGAATTCAAGCTGGCTACTGCATTGTTGGCGTTTCCGTTTTAGACCGCTTGAACAAATCAGCAAAACACTTGGAGATCTTGCACGCGATGTGGTGATTTTCGAGTCGCCATGAGCTCGGCAAGTCCTCTCAAATCGCGTTCGCGCTCACGGGGCAGGCATGACCATCGGATGCTTGCATGTGTATCGGCAGTGTGGATAAGCGTTTCTTGGAATTCGTCACCATGCTCCATGGAAGGCATACCTCCGATCCTCAAAATGTTGGCGGAGACGACGGCAGCGTCACCATCGCGCAGGTCAGAAATCAAAGGGTCGTAGCCATTGGCGACATTGTCTTTGGAAACAACCTGCAGACACACGGCAACGGGAAGACGCATTCATTTCTGCCCAGCTTTGCCATGCCTTTGCTGAATGTTGCTAAGCTCCCCCCTTCTTTCTCCACAGGCCGAGCCGTCAGCGTCAGGGGCAAAGCAAGGATTGGTGTGCACAGTTCACGCAAGTTCGTGTTCACCGTATTCCCAAGAATTTTTTAGCAAGGCGGCGTGCATTCTTTCATGGTTGGCTGGTTGTCTCCTGAAGGAGCCATCATGCCTCCTCTGCCGGCGACCTTTGTCCCTGCGCAAAGCTTGGTGACGGGCGAGCTGGTGAAGTTGAGCTGCTTCCAATTTTGGTGTGAGCAGTGTGGTTGGGATTTGCTGCTTTCTGTCGGAAATAGTTGTGGCGTGACCCGAGGCGAGGACGCGAGTCACCGTGATGGCTTGGATCGCAGTTCTGTGTTTGGGGCCGGATATTTAAGGATATTTGGCTGTGCAACCAAGTTTTGCATAGGCCAGTTTGACACGAGTCAACACGCGAAGAGCGCAATCTACCGATCTCATTGTTCGTTAGGTGCCCATCAGAATGCGCGTGGCTCAGAAGGTTGGACGGCTATGCCACAACAATCGTTCGGGATAGTGGGATTCGTGCATTGATGTTCAATCTTTGCTTCTGGAACTTAATGGTAGCAGAAGCGATGTCCATGCAGTTGATTTGTAAAGGCCAGCTATCTGACACTGATGTTCAACAGTTGTATTTTCCTTCTTTTATCCGTATGGCCCTTTTGAAAATCGGCCAGGCGACATTGGCAGATGTTCGTCAAAGACTTGCAGCTGCAGGCCTCTGCCCCCCAAGAACTCTGCCCAACTAATAGCTGAGAGCTCTCAATTTTCTTCCGGGTTTCTGCTAGCTTCAGCTGTCCGCAGCGGTGTTGGACGCTAGGCCATGCTAGGTCCTCAGACAAGCAAATGGGCAAGTGATATGGCAGCCACAGCATGTGACATGCACTACGAGTGACAACACGTACCGTCTTGTGAATGGAGGAACTGCATGGAGCGCGAGGCATCGTTTCAGGTATCAGGAAGAGGATCCAAGCGAAGTCCTGCCCACCTGGCTCCGTGTGCACAGGCTAGTTGGGAGTCCTTGCTCGAGGAGCGCAAGCGTCAGCGCGGCACAGGGGTGTCTTCAGCAGATTGCTCGGCTGTTTGGGGCGCCCTGGACTCCTTGGACAGTCCGAAGCGCAAAGGGAAGCAAAACTTCCAGATCGACTTTCAACTTGGTTCTTGTGCTGTTCGCGTCGACAATGGATTGCACTTGGCTGCGTGTGTTCCGATGCTGTCTGCCCTGATGGAAGGAGAGACCGGGTTGAGAAGCGTAGACCTCAGCTCGACGAAGGTTTGCCGTAGCGGCTTGCTGGCGGCGCTCCGCTTTGCTTCTTCGGGGCCGGGTGCGAACGAGCAAGAGAAAGGGCTCTGGACATCCGGTGAATGTCGGCCTATTGCATGTGCTTCGAGGCCTGGGGAGGCACAACTCGTGGAGGATTGCCTCCATTGCTTCGACGTCCTTCGGGCTGCCAACGTTCTGGGTCTTCCACGTCTTGAAGAGGCAGCCAGGGCGCGGCTCGAAGGAGCACCCGAAGGAGGCAGTAAAAGCAGAATTTGGAGACCTGGCCACTCAAGTGGCCACTCAAGTGGCCACTCAAGTGGCCACTCAAGTGGCCACTCAAGTGGCTCTGATGGCCTTTTGTGCGAGGCCTCTGCCATGCCGCTTCTCGCTGCAAGCTTTGGGCAGGAGAAGCGGACCTCCCAGCGCTGCCTCCAGTTGCTGAGCAGCTCAGTGCGCAGCCAAGGCCGGGAGGTGTTACAGGGTCGTGAGCGACAGCTTGGGGTCATCTATGCAACACACCCGGTTGTTGGTGCCATCTTATCTGGCATTTTCAAGGAGGCTAAGGAGGCCGCACCGACTACAAACGCTGCAATCCCTAGAAGCACACCGCAAGAAAGACCGGAGGCTTCTGCCGTTCTGTTGGACTTATTGTTTGGGCCGAGCCATGTTACAAACCAGAACCAGCCTGTCGATGTCAAGTCCCTCCAAGGGCTCCTGAACTCTGGATACTCTGGCCCTTTACTGGCGCATGAGGATTGCGGCGAAATGCCGTGCAAGGGTACAGGCACCGTGAGCTGTGAGCGGTCAGCATCCCTCCCATGATGCCTGGAAAAATATCAGAGTCGCTGTAGCTGCGGGGTTATGTTCTTTTGGCAAGGTGGGGATGACGTGGGCTTAGGGGTTTACGAAAGGTGCTCAATGTTGTAGGCTCGGTCTGGCAGCTCGACGTCGAACCCTGTTGCATTTGCAGTGTTGTCGCCTCACAGCTGCTGTCACAGGACGCACAGGGCCCAAATTCCAATCTGTTCGTTACTGTTCGTCCTTAGTTGTATTATGCTGAGGCTTGAGGTTGCTGGCTGGTGTTGTTGAGCGGTTTGCGATGAACTGCAACGGCGAAGGATCTGTACAAGTCAAACCCTAGTTATCATAGTTCATGGCAGTTTTTGGAGTGCAGGAATAGCCGTGGAAGGGAGGCGCCTCTTCTTCCGTGGCGACCCGGAGGTGAGTTGGGAATGTCGTAGGCTAGGATACATTCCAAAGTATGTTTAGCATGAGCACGCTCGCAATGATGCTGCATGCTGGCAATCGTTCTAGGGCACGACGACATGTGAGGACGTGGACGAGAGTTTGCCCCTGGCCGACTTGAAGGATTCACGCTTCGTCATGTTTCCTGAAACAGGCCTGGCAAGGGTGCGCCTGCAGCAATGAGCGTCTGATCTCAAGGTTGCGTGTGTGAAAAGGGTGCTGGTGGTCAGAAGGGCTCACATTCGCAAAATGTGCAGCTAACATCCTCACTGCCACTTTGCAGGTCTTCTACCGTGGCAGCTCTGCGCAGCGCATCGAGCATGCGAGCGCTTCGTGCGCAGCCCAAACCCCAAACCCTAGAAACACAAACATGTGGTTCACGAGCACAGGTTGAAAACAATGCCGCACTCATGGGCTCAAGGGTACATTCGTGTTTGGAGTTCAAGCAAATCTTCGGTTTTTAGGTTTTTCTGTGTTTTTCTTTGCAGGGTTTCATGAGAGTCGGTTAGGGCTTGGCATTGTCCAGGCTTCCATGGGGCGAGACTGCGGGTTATTCTTGACTGCAGTTCAGAAAATCTGTGCACTTCCGTGTCTGCTTTAAGAATCAGGTACATGAGCGGCTTGCTGGGTACCAGCCTCAAGATCATTTTGAGTAGGGTAGACACCTTGCCAGAGCTCGGTTGACTTGCTTTTGACGCCCTTATCGAGGAATTGGGCCGCGGCAGCAGCCAGGACAATCTGGCTGTCTGCTGCACGCAGCTTGCGAGAGAAAGCTGTCAGGAATCCCATGTACAAGACGCGATTGTGCAACCATTGGGTCGTGGGCTAAGTCAGCGAAGAATTTTCAATGCCCCAAATGTCCTCCGAACACGGCTTTGTTAAAGCCTGTAGATGCTTTGTACTGCACTCGGTTTGCATGTCGTTGACGGAGTGGCTCGATGTTGTATGAACGAAGCCTAACTTCAACTGCTGCAGACCCGCACCGAGCACTCGGTCCCCACAAGCCTTGCACAGGCCCTGAAGGGAGCATGCCCACGAGGCGAGCGGTGTGCGGGCGCCTGAGCGAAGGAGTGCTACAAGGAAGTTATACATGAACGAGCTGATGACTAGCAGGCGTTCGGTTTTCCCAAGCAGCCAGTGTCATCCAGTGTCGACATAGAGGAATCATAGGAGAAGGGTGTTTCCATATACGATTGTGGCAGTTTGTGCTGAGGTATATGCACATGGACCCAATGAGCTACGCGCCGCGCAGGCCAGTTCTTGCAATGAATCTCAAGCCCTGCAGATGTTCTAGTTGTGCTGGACATCTAGCAGAATTTGTTTGGAATGGCTCACGTTACATATGGTGAACTCCAAAACGTTCGGTGCACTTCTTTTCTCTGTACCTGTGCTTTGGGTGGGGTGCTCGTGGGTTTGTTGCCAAATGTGTGGGAGCTGCCAGATGGCAGCAAAGAGGTGGTTTCAAGAAGTCTCGGGTCCTGAACGGGTCCCAGGGTGTACGCAGGATTCCGCACGATTCAGAAACCAGCCGCGATTTAGGAAACCAGCATTCAGGTGGGCGATTCAGACAACCACGCGTTTCAGGAAACTGGTTGTCACGATTCAGGCAACCACCGCATCCAGGAAGCCACCGCAGTCAGGAAATCACGCGATCCAGGAAAACAGGGTGGGGGGGTGGGGATGATAGCGCTCGAAACCGTGGTTTCCAGTTTCCAGAATAGATTCGCAGTTTCCGAATCCGCACTTTGGTGCTGAATCCGCGCGTTGTCCGCTTCAGACTCTGCGGGTGGCCTGCAGACGCAAGTGTTAGGGGTGTGATGGAAAGGTGCCACCTAGTGCTGTTCATGGGCAGCAAAATGCCAGCCCTTCGACATCGGTTCCCTCGTGTCTCAGCTGCAGATTGTGGCAAGTGACAGGGGCGTGCTTCACATACAGCCTGTCAGCTAAGTTCGGGTCAATCCAGCGCAGCCCCCAGATTAGGTACGGTACGGCACGGTGACGCGCACTGAGCATGGCCCGGAATCATGTCAGGGCATGTGCAATTGCTGAGGTGCCTCAGCAAAGATTCCTGAGGCCCAGACACGTGATTTCCATTGTGAGCATGCTTATGATGCACGGCATGTCGGATCCTGTTTAGCCCTCTCGACATGCGAGGTTGTCTTCACTGTGGACAAGGTGCCTCACTTGCCCTGTATCCGGGTTATTTAGTCTTGACGAAACCTTCGTTGTGAAAGCTACCTTCCCGTCAGAGAAGCGAAGACGAATAAAGGGTGCTGTGTCGCCAATTCCTTGGTTGCTGAAGTAGGCTGTGTCTTCAAGACGAACCTTGCACCATGTGGGTCAGAGTTGCTTGCTTGACATCAACTTTCACCTGTCGGAGATGAGTCACAGAGTTAGGAACAGGTGGGTAGGTAAGTATGGGCAAGTCTTCGTGGACCGCCTCACAACAGAAGCTTCGGGAGACGCCAATCCCGAGGAGGAGGAACGGCGTCGCGCCGAACGCGCCAAGCGCTTTGCGCCAAGGGTGGCCTCCTTTGAGGCCCGCCCCGTAGAACATTGAAACGTCATTTTACGTCCCACTTTTTGGAGCTCAGCAGTCTGTTGTCGTTTTCAGAGTTGGCGTTCTTGCTCGTTCCTGTTGCACTCAGGCAGAGGCCAAGGCGAGCAGATGCGGGCAGGGTTGGTAAGGGAAGTGGTAGGGTCATGGGATGCCCGAAGCGATGCTGTTCAGAAATCACAGGCCCCTGCGGCCACTTTGCAACGCATGCTGGGCTGTGCTCGATGGGAGAATCAGGTTGCACATGCTTCTTGGTGACCAAGTGGGGATGTTGTACCCAGTCAGACATCAGACTTTCAGCTGCCATTCTCGCTTGTCTAACAATGTCCTCAACTTTGCCTGTCGGTGCGTCGCCCAGAGCCATAACAATGAGTGGTATAGGCGGTATAGGATCAAAAGATGAGGAAAACATAGGAAAGCCCTGGACGCAAGGCGCCAGCTCCTGATCCCGAGTCCGAAGCGGCAGACGATCTGGAGGTATGAGTCAGTATGAGTGGGGTGAGAGTCGTGGGAACTCGTGGGTTTTCATGTGTCGTTCAACCAACAGAGCAGTTCCAACAGAGTGCTGCAAGCAGACCTCTGCAAGCAGACCTCTGCAAGCCGTGGATACATGGGTTATCCACGACGTCCATGTGCAGACGCGCACGTGCCGAGAAGTGCAATCTTGTGAGGCAGCTGCCTTTGACGATATGGGGCTGAACGAGGCATCGACTCCGCCTGCATCGAGCCTAAGAGTTCAGCTGACAGAACTTCAGCTGGCAGGACCAAATCGCCGACTACCTCTTCGAGATGCAGCAGTATGCCCGTGCTGTTTTGGATTGGGGCATGTGAATGCCAGAGTCCATTGCTCCCTGCCACAAGCCAGGCAACCATGCGATGATGTTACTCACGCCTGAGCTCGAATACATGTCACATATGTCACTGTTTCTCGTGTTTTCTTTGCTCAAGCGGGCTGCTGGCCGCGCTGGTCGAGAGCAGCTCTGAGCAGGCGGCCGGCTCGGGTTCGGAGATCGAGCTTCAGGGCTCGAAGCATATATACTCCCGCGCATTTCGCGCGTACGAACGAGCCCAAGAGTCAACAGTGCCTCGTTTTGTGTCCTGCATGATCCTGCATGATCCTGCTCTATTGGCAATAGCAGCAATGTACAACCTTTTTTGTTCCCACGTGGTCCCGCCATGCAGGCCCCTGGGCCTCTCGGATGTCGCGCTGGGCATCCCATGCCAGCCGCTGGGCCCGCTGCCGGAACGCGCACCTTTCTGCCTTCGCCCGCCAGGCTGCTCGCAGAATCTGCAAGTCATGCTGCGCAATAGACGGCATCCATCGTTCGACGTCCTTCATTGTTTTCTGGTCTTTGCCGCACGGCTTTCTTGGGCAAGTGCTGGTTCAATGACTGATGTCTGTGTTGCGCAGTACGGGTGAGATTTGCTCTGAGATTCCCCCTGTGCCGCTTCAGAGCCCTTCAAATCCATTGAGATCGCCTCCTGCTCGGTCTTGCAAGAGAGAGTTATCTTCACTGGATGCTGTGAGGTGAATTTTGGACTTCAGGGCCATCGTGGCCTGGCAAGCTGTCCACCCCTGTCGCGGATTTGTGCAGATTCTCGTCAGCCATCGTCAACGCAGTGTTGAGTTGATGTCTTCTTGCTTGCAGTAATTCCTAGTAAGCCATTCTCGAAGCCTCAGATGATATCAGGAACTGCGGCCCACGCAGGGTTTCGTCGAGCAGCGGATGCGGACGCCAGGCAGCGGCACACTTTGTGGACAGTTGCGGTTCTCTTCTACCCATTCCTACGGTTCAGCTTGGTCCACACAAACTTGGTTTCTGAGTGCTCAGAGTGAGTACTTTCTCTGACTTGGGGGTTTCCGAAAGTAGGGGTGCCATTTTGGGGGTTTTTTGAAGGGGATTCTATTCTCATTGGGGGTACAAAAAGTGTACCCCGAATTCGGGGAATGCCCAGTTAGTTTTGTGCCTTCGGAGGAACTTTGGATCGGTTCGCCTCTGGAGAGCCCTGTGACTCCATGGACCAGGAGAGCGCCTTGCAGGCCAACACAGGGAAGTTGGTTGCTGAGGCTCTGGTCCCATCCACCCTCCCCTGCTTTATGTTATTTGAGCTGTGCGGATATTGCATGCTGGCTGCTGGCTTCGAACCAAGCCATGGAATGCAAGCGCGAATCGCGAAGCGATTTTTTTTCGCGATGCGGATCGTTTCAGGCTTCACCATTTGTACGGCACCGAGCTGGGGTGCACTTCGGACCATGGAACACGCACGGGACCTAGGCGGCAGTGCGATTTGTGCCGTCGCACGGCGCCAAACCGTTGGGACAGGATCGAACGCGCGCCCTGGTGAGAGCGTAGTTGACCCACAACCAGCGTCGTGCCAGGGTGTGAATACAAGACCTCATGAAGCGACTGCCAATGCCTGTGTTTTTGAACCTGGTGGTTGATAAGTGTCTGTGTGTGTACGTAATACCTCTTTGTGCCATACGCCCGTATCATGAATATTGTTCACTTCTTTCTTTTAATCATTCCCGGGCTCATTGTTTTCATCAATATTTTTGCCCGTGTCATTTTGTAGTGTATTTTAGTGCCCCGTTATAGTGGTATGAGAATTAAGGAAAAGAATGTACGCTGTTTCACATAACTTAGAATACGGGTGCTTTTTCATTCCTTTCCAGTTTTGGCAGGCCTTCTGGCTCTTTGGACACGACTTAGAAATTCAGTGAGGAAACTGCATTTACACAACCAGGGTGGACTCAAGCCTTTTTGTTGCTTGTGCAAAGTCCGGAAGACTTCAACAACATGCTTTTGCCAGTACTTTACAGCCAGCTTCGACATGCTCGTTGTTGCAGATTTTGTTCTTCCTTTGTTGCTCTCGGAGCGGTACTTGTGACCTCTTTTCACGTCCCAACTGCTTGCCGCGCAGCAATGTGATTTCTCTCACACGCCCCAGTATGCCAAACCCCCTACATCGCCTGAAACTCTCAGTTTCTTTTTCCCGTGAGCACGTTGACAGTCACATCCGAGCTCACGTCATGTTCACCTGAGATTGACTTCGAGGCCAAACAAAGACATGTCATGTCTTCGCATGAATGCGCTGTCCCACCAAACCCTTTCAAACAAAGCGCCCCCCGCCTTTCCTTGTTACAGGTGATCGCGGCATTGCTCCAAGACATCTCGGCCTCCGGCCTCACAAGTGACTCGGTCGAGCCAAAGATATGTTTCTGACTGTATGGCCACCCTTGCTCAGCTGAGGCGACTATTTCCTAGCAGAAATCCAAAGGAAATGCCAATGCGTCAAGTCAGGCCACAAGAAGTTTGCAATGCACGAGTCGGTGTTCCGAAGCGGTGAGGGCGTGACACGCGCAATTTTCCAAAAGGATAAGAAGGCCATTTGCAACATGGGAATCCACTTCGGTTTCGTGCCAGGACCAGTTTGCGGCATCCCAGAACTTGCCTGAGCCGACCATTCCTCGTCCATGGTGACGTAGTGACATGTGTTGACCTTCCGTCGAAACGACCTATAGACGCTGGTGCGTACTTCTCGGTGTCACCGGGGAAACGAGATTGCCTCTTGATTCCCTGTGTGCAATGACCACACGGAAAAACAGGCAGACGCTGACGTGGCATCTTTGTGTGGCTTGCTTTGAACGTTTCCAAAGCAATCTTCAGCTTCTTCTGGTCTTATCCTGGGTTGAATCAGATCCACGTTGTGCGCTCGCGCGGTGTTGAAGGCATGTCGAAGGTGTGCTGTGCTCCATGGTACTACAGCTTTGCACACGATTTTCATGGACCTGGCAAACATCTGCAATGAGTTTATTAAACAGCCAGCCCTGCACTTGTACCTTGTTTGTCTTACGCTTGGCGATGGCCAACTTGACAGTCCAGACTCCAGACCTATGCCAGGCAGATCCTCCACACCATGGATGACACTGTTGACGGTGGGTTTGACTTTGTCAACGAGGATGTGCAGGACGTGCAGGAGCCCGCCTTTGTGAGAGAAAGGCTTTCGCGAACACCCTGCCAAGATGCATCAAGGACAGCTTGCAAATTCTGCTTGTCATGGTCAGGACACGGGCAAAGCAGATGAGGATGCTGAACGGACAGGAGCCGAGACCGAAAGCGAGGCCAAAAGTGTTCTTGTTTGCTTGAGCGTGCCGCTGCGCACAGATGTAGCATGGGGCGATCGTACCGCAATGGCGCAGCGCCTCATGTCTTGCTTGCAGCCAACCTTCATATATCAGACAGTTTCATGGCCCTCGTCCGTCTGATATGACTGGAAATCTCCTGCAAATGGCATAGAGCAGCTTCATGCAACTTGCCTTTCGTGAACTTCAGCCGTGCCATGGCGCTTGTAGCACCCAGCCTGCTGCTTACGGTGATCGGCTCAGCTGTCCACGACTAGACTGGCCCCACTCTGACTGCCTAGTCAAGTTTCCATGCCCTATCAGTACCTCTTATTCGAGTCTGGCCGATACTTAGGGCGGATCATTGGGCAGTTGGGAGGGTCCCTCGTGCAGACGACGACTCCGGGTCAGGTCTTCCCAGGCCGTGGAACTTCACGTTTTTATGATGTGCAGGGAAATTGATATTCTTCGTTGCAGTAATGCCAAACGATGCTGGCAGTAGTGATTCTGGCTCAGCTGAGGATGTGGGAAGGGGTTGCAGAATTGGAAGGTCTCAGAGTGTTCGCAGGTTCAGGGCGTGAGCCGTGTCCGGGAGGCGTGGCAGGAGGGAGGTATGGGATGCCGGACACAGGCTTAACTTAAATCCCCGAGATGACCAAAACTCAGGAACAGTTCGCTTCGGCAACTTGCAAGCGTTAAAGCCTCTGTGTGCGGCGGCACCACCTAAGCAAGGTGATTTGGTATTTGCATGTCATTTCACAAAGGATGCTACCTAAATCGGAAAACAAGAAGAGACCATGAATCACGCACCCATGGTTCAGAAAACAGCAAGGAACGAATCAGAAAGCAGCGAGGTTTGAATCAGCATGCATGGGCAGCCATGCATTTACATCGGTCTCTCTCACTGGCGGGCCATCGCCGTAGCTTGGAGTGGGCGAGCAAGGACAGAAGAGCCCAACCCCAACCTCAGCTAGACTAACCTAACCTAAACCTAACCTAACCTAACCTGACCTAACGGAACCAACCCTAGCCTAATCGGCAATGCGAGAGGCCAGGCCCCTAATCTAACCTAACCAAACCAAACCTAACCTAACCTAACAAACCTAACCTAACCTAGCCCAACCTAGCCTAACCTAACCTAACCTGAGCTATCATGATAGGCTTAAGGGTGTGCTTTTAGGGTTAAGGTTTAGGGATCTCCCCCAAGACACCATTATTGAAGATAGGTCTACTAAGTACCCCCCTTATGAAAGGCGTCGATAGACCCCTATACAGGCCCCTATGGTAACAAATTTATCACTTGCGCTCGAGCAGCAAGGTTTGCTTTGTTTAAACAAGGGGTTGTTAGGGTTTAGGGTTTAGGGGTTTTCAGGGTTTAGGGTTTAGGGCCTTTGAGGGTGTAGGTCTTGGGGTGTTTTAGGGTTGAGGGCTTAGGGGGGTTTAGGGTTTAGGGTTTTTTTTCGGTTTAAGGCTCAGGTTTCGTTTTGGGATGAGGGCTTGAGGCTTTAGGGGTTTTTAGGATTTAGGGTTTAGGGCTTTTTAGGGTTTAGGGCTTAAGGTTTTGCAGGGTTTTTTGGGGTTTAAAGTTTAGGGGTTTTTATGGTTTAGGTTCTTTTTTGGTTTAGGACTCAGGGTTTTTTAGGCTTTAGTGGGTTTTAGGGTGTAGGGTTGGGCTTTTGGGGTTTAGGGCTTCGGGGTTTTTAGGGTTTATTCGGGCTTAGGGGTTTTCAGGCTTTAGGGTTTTGGGGTTAGGGTTTAGGGATTGTTAGCCCACCCTCCCATTTGCAAACACAACACTCGCACGATGGGTTCGAAAAAGAATAAAGCGGGGGGGTTGGGGGGGGGGGGAGGCAGCCCCCCCCCCCCCCCCCCCCCCCCCGATTTGCAAACACAATGCTCGCATGATGGGGTTTTTTACGGTTTGGATTTATTAGGGTTTAGGGCTTAGGGGTTTGTAGGGTTTAGAGTTTTCGGGGTTTGAAGTTGAGGGGTTTTTAGTGTTTAGGTTTTTTGGGTTTAGGGCTCAGGGTTCTTAGGGTGTAGGGCTTAGGGCCTTTGGGGTTTAGGGGTTTTTAGGGTTTAGGGTTTAGGGTTTTAGGGTTTAGGTTTTTTGTTAGGGTTTAGGGTTTTGTTGGGGCTTAGGGGTTTTTAGGCCTTCGGGTTTTTAGGGTTTAGGGGTTTTGGGGGTTTAGGGTTTAGGGATTTTAGGGGACAAAAGCATTGCGCCCGCTCTTGCTGACTTTTGTTTCTGATTCGTGCCTTGGTGTTTTCTGATTTGCACGGCCGTGTTTTCTGATTTGCACTCCTGTTTGCTGAGTTATGCTTGGCTGATTTGCCTGTTACCCCCCGCCAGCAGGGGACCAAGAGGGGTGGGAAGGGGTGGTCAACAAAGACCCCTCCGCCCGACCCCGTGCAAACGTGCCTGCTCTTCGTCCGCTCATGGGCTCTGCTCAGCAGCTTGGGGGGGGGCTCGTGAAGCGATTTTTGAGGTTAATTATGTGTGCCAGTATGTGTGGTCATAATCCTACTTCAAGGCGTTTCTTTGTCACATGTGGTTTTTCTCAAAGAGCAAGGTTGCACCGAGGGTTGTCCAGGGCGAGTGATTCTGTGCAGGCACCGTTCGGCCACCTGGTTCGAACCTCAGGACGTGAACGTGTGCCGCACCAAGATGTCAGCTAAACTGAAGGCAACGGCGGCTTCTTGTGTAGTGCTTGCAGCCTCATCTGCGAAGGCGCAGAACTGAGAGCTGTCAATTTCTAATCCTCAGCAGCGCGCGGTTAGCAGTGCGAAGCATGGAAGTCCACTTCCGCAGGCAGGGCGGGACGGCGGCCGGAAAGAAAAGAGATGGCGACAAGAGTCGCCGTTCACGTATCCGAGTCTTGGCACCCTCTTGGCACGCTTATTGCAGGAGCCCAGTTGTCTGCGCGTTTCCAACAGTTGGCAACGGTTGGCAACGCCGGTTAGTCTGGATATCCATGGAGTTGCTTCATCAAGGCATTATGTCTGTGTGCTTGATGAAAATTTGGAATCTGAGGATGTCTAAGTGGCGAGGGCAGACCGGTCGTGGCAAGAAAGGTGCATCCGTGTAATACACGTTTCAAGGTCTCATGTTAGAGTACTGTAGTTACGATCTTGATTGGAAACTGGTTAGGTCAAGCCGCGTGCACTAAGGTCACTTCCATCTGCTCGACAGATACATTCGACGCATCGATGCCCTCCTTCCAGAGGACATGGAGGACCTGGTAAGGCCACTGAGTTACAAGCCGAACCAGGAGCAGACCACCAGGAGTTCTGCGGTGAGCTGGGGAGCTTTCTTGCTTTGTTTTCCTGCTTCTGTGACTTTGCGCTCGTCGCTGTTTTGTCTCTGCTCTTGCCCCTTAAAGGACTCTGAAGATCACTTTCCCCGACGAAACTGTCAAGCCGGATGGCGTTAAGGCTGAGGAAGTGCGCGACTTCCTGTTTCCCCTGGCGCCACAAGACGTAGCCTTGGGCTGGCATGGAGAGGGAGGCCACAGCAAAGCTGTTCATCCTGTCCCGCATGGAGCTTGCAAGCTGAGGATCAAGGCATTGCATCTGTGCAGGTGCGGAGGTCTACGTGATGTTCGAGACAAACGAGGAATGCCAAAATGGACGGAAGCTCGATGGCCAAAGGCCCTTCGGCTGGCCAGGCATGATCTTCTGTTTCAAAGCGACAACCTTCAGAGGCTGGGCGGTCGCCATGCTCAAGTGCGGTACTCCGTCGACAACAAGTTTCGTCGGGTTGCGGCCTATGGTTCATTTCGTGCTGGCACTAGCTGGAAAGGGCGTGCTCTGTGCATGTGTGAGCAAGTAAGAATAAGGTCATGGAAGATTTGGGCCACTGGTCCATGAGCAGCGACCAAGAGCAGGACCAAGACAGCTGCGGCTGCACTTGTTCTGCTGGGTTGAAAGTTCGTAGTTGACCTGATACTTGGTGTTGAGGGTCCGGAGTTGCTTCGCAGCCGAGATAAAGCTGCATGCAACATGCGAGTATGATCGAGCACAGCAACAAAAAAAATATATATATATATATATATATGTATAGCTCGCCCCCCCCCATGATCCACACATTTGGCCTCGGGAAGGCTGTGGATGCGGGGCTTTTGGGAGGGGGGGGGACTCCAAACTCCAGATTTCCAGAATGAATTTGGAGTATCGGGGCCCTGGACTCCAGATCTGGAGTCCGTAATCTGGAGTCCGGGGCCCCGATGCTCCAGATTCGCTCTGAAAATCTGGAGTCTGGAGTCCGGGGCCCGGTACTCCAGATTCACTCTGGCAATCTGGAGTCTGGAGTCCGGGGGGTTTAGGGTTTGTAGGGTGTAGTGTTGAGGGTTTAGGGTTTAGGGTTTAGGGTTTAGGGTTTAGGGTGTTTAGGGTCTAGTGTTTAGGTTTTGGCTTTAAAAGGTTTAGGGTTTGCGTTTTTGGGTTTAGGATTAAGCGACTTGGATAGTGTCTAAAACCCTAACCCTTATAATGATTAAATCTTAAAACCCCTAAAGCACTGACACCCCCATGTTTTTTTGGTTTGGGGTTTAGGGCTTAGTGTTTAGGGTTTAGGGTTCAGGATTTGGTGTTTCCGGTTTAGGGTTTAGCGTTTAGTGTTTAGGGTTTAGTGTGTAGGTTTCAGGGTTTAGTGTTTTGTGTTTAGGGTTGAGTGTTAAGTTTAGGGTCTAGCTTTCGGGTTTAGGGTCAAGCGGCTTGGCTAAAACCCTAAACCAAATAAAACCCTAAACTCTAAAATCCAAACAGTAAGCATCTGAAACCCCAACGGGTTTTTGGTTTCGGGTTTAGATTTAGTAGGGCTTGAGGTTCCGGCTTTGGGGTTTACTGTTTAGGGTTTAGGGTTTAGTGTTCAGGGTCTAGTGTGTAGGGGGTAGTGTGTAATGTTTAGGGTTTAGTTTTTAGGGTGTAGTGTTTAAGTGTTTAGGGTTTCGTGTTCAGTGTTTGGGGTTTGTGCTAAGGGCTTAGTTTTAAGTTTTAGGGTTAGTGTTTAGGGTCTAGTGCTGAGCGTTTAAGGTTTAGGGTTAAGGGTTTCGGGTTTGGTTTTTAGGGTTAAGGGGTTTAAGAATCCTTCTGTTTAGGGTTTAGGGTTTAGAGTTCGGGGTTTAGTGTGCAGGGTTTAGTGTGTAATGTGAGGGTTTTACAAATTTAAATGATCTGGGGAAGGCACCGGGGCTTCCCAGACCATCTAAGCTTTCAAAATCCTTAAAATTTTATAAAAATCCTTAAGATTTTGTTTAAACATTCTCAGGATTTTAAAAGGTTTTAAAGCCTTGTAAAACCCTTAAATTGCTTAAACATTTAAGTGGCTGCCCTTTGAGGATTTTAAGGATTTTTAAAGTTGTCAATGGTCTGGAGAAGCCCCGGTGCCTTCCCCAGACCATATATACATCTTTACAAATCTTTAAACCCCTGAAACTCTTGCAGTTGTAAATGGCTGTCCTTTTACAGTTTAAGGATTTTGGGATGTTGAATTCTAAAATCCGTAACTTCCTTAATTTTAAATAGCTGCCCTTTTGCAATTTTAAGGTGTTTTAGAACTCTAAGGGATAAAAGTTTTCAGGTTTTTAAGGGCTTTAAGGCCTTCTAAAATCCTTTTAATCCTGAAAATTTTGAATGGCTTTAAACACCTTAAAGCCCTTAAATTCTAAACGGGCTGCCCGTTCAAAAAAATATGGATTTTATGGATTTTTATAGTTTGAAATGGTCTGGGGAAGCCCCGGTGCCTTCCGCAGATCATCCAAATGTTTAAAAACCCCTAAAACTCTGAAAAGCCTCAAAATTCTAAATGGCTGCCCTTCTAACATTTTCTGGAGCCGCAAGACACACGTTTCAGAAGCAAAATGCGCATAAAAGCACTAGTGCTTTTATAGGGGATAGTGTAGTAGAGCCTTTTGTATTCCAGTACAGTTTTTGCTGCATTTTTCCGAGGAAAAGGCAAATGAGACAACAACGAAGACAGGATAACCATAGGTGTGGATCATGGGAAAGAGGGGGGTGACCATATATACATATATATACATATATATACATATATATACATATATATACATATATATATATATATATATTGTGTGTGTGTGTGTGTGTGTGTGTGTTTGTGTGTGTTTGTGTGTGTTGGCTTTCCTCTCCCCGAGAGGCATCTGAGCCTGAGCCTCCGGAGACAGAGAAGTCGGTTGAAGCTCAAGGTCGCAGCTGACGGCAGCGAGATGCCGTAGATGCGTGTCGACTGTAGATGGCTGGAGGATGCAGGAAGACTGTAGAGCAGTGCAGACTACTGTAGGCTGCAGAAAACGGATCTGAAATTTGTGACAAGCGAGCTTTGCCGAGCTGGGTGTTTCCATTTCCGTTTCTGGCTCCAGCACAACAGCTCCGCAGCTTTAGCGTTCAAAAATAGGCCCGTGGCCCTTGGAGCCTTCTGTGGGCATCTCCGGGAGAGCCTATGGTGAGCATGGCAGGGCCCGCGTGCCTGAGCCGGCTTCCGGTGCCGCTCTCCGCAGGGGTGCCAAGCGGTGCTCTCCATTGGCAAACGTGTGGCTGTCGTGCAGTCGTACACACTTCGCACCATACTGAGCAAGTGCCAAAACGCCCTCCATTCAAGTAAGCAAGAAGCGGACACAAAGGAGCAAGACCCTGTCAAGCGACGGGTGCACGTGAAAAAGAATCGACCCCCCCCCCCGTGTTGCGTCCATTCGCACAACCAAAGGTTTTCGGCAGCCGCTCAGCAGTTGCTCCAGGAACTCAAGGTTGAGACATCCAGCAGCAAAACGTAGGAGCACTGTATGCCCCAAATGTGGGGTCAATAGATGAGGCTGCCTTGTGATGAATAACACCATCATAGCCTGCGCCGGTGCAAACAATGATTGCAAAGTAGCATGTGGTCCCCTCGAACACATTTCTCCTCGTCTGAAATCTGTTTGCGGGGGTCTCCTAGCCATGTACTTCGGCTGAGTAAAAAGCAGCTGACTGCGCGTCGCCCATCATCGCCCGAAAGCTGTGGGGTTCCGGTCAGAGCAGCCCAGTGATCCGCAGTTTCAGTTCTTGCCGGTATCCAGGCCCCAAGGAGCCTGTCGGCTCTTGGAGTACAAGCGAAGGCACAGAAGGCCGGAGCCTCACCAAGGCATAGGGGGACTGCCTGCAGCCGGCCGCAGCCAACACAGCCAACAATAGGAAGGGGGCTTTCTTATTCTTGTTTTTTCTGGATCTTGCTGGATGTTTTGCCTGGAGGCTGCTCCTTTCGAGGCGTCGCATGCCACCCGAGTCCATGCCCCAGACCCATCTGATACATCACCATGCTGACTTTGCCAGTGCTGCTCCGACGTGCTTTCTGTGGCACGTGGTTTGTTTTTTTTCTTTTGAATGCGATAAAGCAATGGATTGCCTGGCGGCGTGATTCACAGAGAGTTTGGCATGCACTTGGGTCCAGCCAATTCAGGGTCTCTCTTTTGCTCGTCTGGCTGACTGGTCCCAAAGCGGCTTCGCCATTGTTGGATCGAGGTCTTCACGGCAGCGTCTACAACAGCACTTTTGGCAGTCAGGTCCTCGAGGGACACGGGGCCGAAAGCAGGAAGCCACAGACAGAGGCGATCAGAAAAGTCAGAGTCTCACATGGGTGGCCCAGGCCTCCGCGCGCAGGTTACACTCTGTCACGGCCTCAAATGCAGCCTCAAATACAGCCGCCTCAAATGCGGTCACCATTGTTGTCGCGAGCGTTCGCTTCGATGAACGTGGGAGTTCTCAGTAAGAAGCCATGGCAGCTGATGCTCATGATGCTGGTTGGGGTTCTGAGATTCTGAGTGAGAAGCTCTGGCAGCTGATGCTCATGATGCTGGCGCGGTTGGGGTTCTCAGTGAGAAGCCATGGCAGCTGATACTTGTACTCATGACGCTGGTTGGGGTTCTGAGATTCTGAGTAAGCACTGGCAGCTGATGCTCATGATGCTGGCACGGTTGGGGTTCTCACTGAGAAGCTCTGGCAGCTGATGCTCATGATGCTGGCGCGGTTGGGGTTCTCAGTGAGAAGCTCTCGCAGCTGATGCTCATGATGCTGGCGCGGTTGGGGTTCTCAGTGAGTGGCGCGGTTGGGGTTTCTCAGTGAGAAGCCATGGCAGCTGATACTCATGAGATTCTGAGTGAGAAGCTCTGGCAGCTGATGCTCATGATGCCGGCGCGGTTGGGGTTCTCAGTGAGAAGCTCTGGCAGCTGATGCTCATGATGCTGGCGCGGTTGGTGTTCTCAGTGAGAAGCCATGGCAGCTGATACTCATGATGGGGTTCTGAGATTCTGAGTGAGAAGCTCTGGCAGCTGATGCTCATGATGCTGGCGCGGTTGGGGTTCTCAGTGAGAAGCTCTGGCAGCTGATGCTCATGATGCTGGCGTGGTTGGGGTTCTCAGTGAGAAGCTCTGGCAGCTGATGCTCATGATGCTGGCGCGGTTGGGGTTCTCAGTGAGAAGCTCTGGCAGCTGATGCTCATGATGCTGGCGCGGTTGGGGTTCTCAGTGAGAAGCTCTGGCAGCTGATGCTCATGATGCTGGCGCGGTTGGGGTTCTCAGTGAGAAGCTCTGGCAGCTGATGCTCATGCTGGGCGCGGTTGGGGTTCTCAGTGAGAAGCTCTGGCAGCTGATGCTCATGATGCCGGCGCGGTTGGGGTTCTCAGTGAGAAGCTCTGGCAGCTGATGCTCATGATGCCGGCGCGGTTGGGGTTCTCAGTGAGAAGCTCTGGCAGCTGATGCTCATGATGCCGGCGCGGTTGGGGTTCTCAGTGAGAAGCTCTGGCAGCTGATGCTCATGATGCTGGCGCGGTTGGGGTTCTCAGTGAGAAGCTCTGGCAGCTGATGCTCATGATGCTGGCGTGGTTCTCAGTGAGAAGCTCTGGCAGCTGATGCTCATGATGCTGGCGCGGTTGGGGTTCTCAGTGAGAAGCTCTGGCAGCTGATGCTCATGATGCCGGCGTGGTTGGGGTTCTCAGTGAGAAGCTCTGGCAGCTGATGCTCATGATGCTGGTTCTCAGTGAGAAGCTCTGGCAGCTGATGCTCATGATGCCGGTGTGGTTGGGGTTCTCAGTGAGAAGCTCTGGGCAGCTGATGCTCGTGATGCCGGCGTGGTTGGGGTTCTCAGTGAGAAGCTCTGGCAGCTGATGCTCATGATGCTGGCGTGGTTGGGGTTCTCAGTGAGAAGCTCTGGCAGCTGATGCTCATGATACTGGCGTGGTTGGGGTTCTCAGCGAGAAGCTTTGGCAGCTGATGCTCATGATGCCGGCGTGGTTGGGGTTCTCAGTGAGAAGCTCTGGCAGTTGATGCTCATGATGCTGGTGCGGTTGGGGTTCTCTGTGAGAAGGTCAGCTCATGCTCATGATGCTGGCGTGGTGGGGGTTCTCAGTGAGAAGCTCTGGCAGCTGATGCTCATGATGCTGGCGTGGTTGGGATTCTCAGTGAGAAGCTCTGGCAGCTGATGCTCGTGATGTCGGCGTGGTTGGGATTCTCAGTGAGAAGCTCTGGCAGCTGATGCTCATGATGCGGGCGTGGTTGGGGTTCTCAGTGAGAAGCTCTGGCAGCTGATGCGGCGTGGTTGGGGTTTCTCACGTGATGCCGGCGTGGTTGGGGTTCTGGTTTCTCAGCGGGAAACTCTGGCAGCTGATGCTCATGATGCCGGCGTGGTTTGGGTTCTCAATGAGAAGCTCTGGCAGCTGATGCTCATGATGCCGGCGCGGTTTGGTTCTCAGTGTGCCGGCGTGGTTGGGGTTCTTAGTGAGAAGCTCTGGCAGCTGATGCTCATGATGCCGGCGTGGTTGGGGTTCTCAGTGAGAAGCTCTGGCAGCTGATGCTCATGATGCCGGCGTGGTTGGGGTTCTCAGTGGAAAGCTCTGGCAGCTGATGCTCATGATGCCGGCGTGGTTGGGGTTCTCAGTGAGAAGCTCTGGCAGCTGATGCTCATGATGCCGGCGTGGTTGGGGTTCTCAGTGAGAAGTTCTGGCAGCTGATGCTCATGATGCCGGCGTGGTTGGGGGTTCTCAGTGCGAAGCTCTGGCAGCTGATGCTCATGATGCCGGCGTGGTTGGGGTTCTCAGTTAGAAGCTCTGGCAGCTGATGCTCATGATGCCGGCGCGGTTGGGGTTCTCAGTGAGAAGCTCTGGCAGCTGATGCTCATGATGCCGGCGTGGTTGGGGTTCTCAATGAGAAGCTCTGGCAGCTGATGCTCATGATGCCGGCGTGGTTGGGGTTCTCAGTGAGAAGCTCTGGCAGCTGATGCTCATGATGCCGGCGTGGTTGGGGTTCTCAGTGAGAAGCTCTGGCAGCTGATGCTCATGATGCCGGCGTGGTTGGGGTTCTCAGTGAGAAGCTCTGGCAGCTGATGCTCATGATCGTGTCTGAGAACCAGAAGCTCTGGCAGCTGATGCTCATGATGCCAGCGTGGTTGGGGTTCTCAGTGAGAAGCTCTGGCAGCTGATGCTCATGATGCCGGCGCGGTTGGTGAGAAGCTCTGGCAGCTGATGCTCATGATGCCGGCGCGGTTGGGGTTCTCAGTGAGAAGCTCCGGCAGCTGATGCTCATGCTGCCGGCGCGGTTGGGGTTCTCAGTGAGAAGCTCTGGCAGCTGATGCTCATGATGCCGGCGCGGTTGGGGTTCTCAGTGAGAAGCTCTGGCAGCTGATGCTCATGATGCTGGCGCGGTTGGGGTTCTCAGTGAGAAGCTCTGGCAGCTGATGCTCATGATGCCGGCGCGGTTGGGGTTCTCAGTGAGAAGCTCTGGCAGCTGATGCTCGTGATGCCGGCGCGGTTGGGGTTCTCAGTGAGAAGCTCTGGCAGCTGATGCTCATGATGCCGGCGCGGTTGGGGTTCTCAGTGAAGCTCTGGCAGCTGATGCTCATGATGCCGGCGCGGTTGGGGTTCTCAGTGAGAAGCTCTGGCAGCTGATGCTCATGATGCCGGCGCGGTTGGGGCTCTCAGTGCGGAGCTCTGGCAGCTGATGCTCATGATGCCGGCACGGTTGGGGTTCTCAGTGAGAAGCTCTGGCAGCTGATGCTCATGCTGCCGGCGCGGTTGGGGTTCTCAGTGAGAAGCTCTGGCAGCTGATGCTCATGATGCCGGCGCGGTTGGGGTTCTCAGTGAGAAGCTCTGGCAGCTGATGCTCATGATGCCGGCGCGGTTGGGGTTCTCAGTGAGAAGCTCTGGCAGCAGATGCTCATGATGCCGGCGTTGTTGGGGTTCTCAGTGAGAAGCTCTGGCAGCTGATGCTCATGATGCCGGCGCGGTTGGGGTTCTCAGTGAGAAGCTCTGGCAGCTGATGCTCATGCTGCCGGCGCGGTTGGGGTTGTCAGTGAGAAGCTCTGGCAGCTGATGCTCATGATGCCGGCGCGGTTGGGGTTCTCAGTGAGAAGCTCTGGCAGCTGATGCTCATGATGCCGGCGCGGTTGGGGTTCTCAGTGAGAAGCTCTGGCAGCTGATGCTCATGATGCCGGCGCTGGTTGGGGTCGCGGTCTCAGTGAGAAGTGAAACTCTGGCAGCTGATGCTCATGATGCCGGCGCGGTTGGGGTTCTCAGTGAGAAGCTCTGGCAGCTGATGCTCATGATGCCGGCGCGGTTGGGGTTCTCAGTGAGAAGCTCTGGCAGCTGATGCTCATGATGCCGGCGCGGTTGGGGTTCTCAGTGAAAGCTCTGGCAGCTGATGCTCATGATGCCGGCGCGGTTGGGGTCTCAGTGAGAAGCTCTGGCAGCTGATGCTCATGATGCCGGCGCGGTTGGGGTTCTGCAGTAGAAGCTCTGGCAGCTGATGCTCATGCTGCCGGCGCGGTTGGGGTTCTCAGTGAGAAGCTCTGGCACTGATGCTGATGCCGGCACGGTTGGGTTCTCGGTGAGAAGCTCTGAAGCTGATGCTCATGATGCCGGCGCGGGGGTTTCTCAGTGAGGTGGCAGCTGTGCTCATGATGCCGCGCGGTTGGGGTTCTCAGAAGCTCTGGCAGCTGATGCCATGATGGAGGCGCGGGGGGTTCTCAGTGAGAAGCTCTGGCAGCTGATGCTCATGATGCCGGCGCGGTTGGGGTTCTCAGTGAGAAGCTCTGGCAGCTGATGCTCATGATGCCGGCGCGGTTGGGGTTCTCAGTGAGAGAGCTCTGGCAGCTGATGCTCATGATGCCGGCGCGGTTGGGGTTCTCAGTGAGAAGCTCTGGCAGCTGATGCTCATGACGCCGGCGCGGTTGGGGTTCTCAGTGAGAAGCTCTGGCAGCTGATGCTCATGATGCCGGCGCGGTTGGGGTTCTCAGTGAGAAGCTCTGGCAGCTGATGCTCATGCTGCCGGCGCGGTTGGGGTTCTCAGTGAGAAGCTCTGGCAGCTGATGCTCATGATGCCGGCGCGGTTGGGGTTCTCAGTGAGAAGCTCTGGCAGCTGATGCTCATGATGCCGGCGCGGTTGGGGTTCTCAGTGAGAAGCTCTGGCAGCTGATGCTCACGACGCCGGCGCGGTTGGGGTTCTCAGTGAGAAGCTCTGGCAGCTGATGCTCATGATGCCGGCGCTTTTTGGCTGGGGTTCTCAGTGAGAAGCTCGATAAGCACGCGAGCTCATGCGGTTTCAGGGTCTATGAGTCAATGCCGCTTCAGTGGCTCTGGAGGCCTCGCATCGGTGCGGGCTGCGAGGTGCCTCAAAGGAGAGTTTTGTAGGGGAATTTTTCCAAATGGTGGAACTGTATTGTGGTTGTATTGTGGTTGTTTTGTGGGTGGAATGTAGTTTAGCCTCTTCATGTTTCTTCATGTCTCATGGTCTCTCGGAGGCGTGGCTCGCTATGCAGCTTCGAAGGCTAGCATGCCGACGCTGCATGTGTGGCCCCGAGAACACAAGGGTGGCAAAGCATGGCGAAACTGCGGTTGAGAGTGGATTTTCGGACTGGAAGGCTGCAGGTAAAGGACTCGTGCGAGGTGTGCCAGTGCTTTCATGGCTGTGGGTGAAGCTGAGGTGGGGCTTGTCGGATATGGCCTTGTCGGTGAGGGGCTCAGAGGTTACGCGGCTCGAAGACTGTATGGATCGACGCGGACAACTGCTGATTTCCAAGGGCAGGAGCTAGTTGGACAGATGTGCGCTGCAGCACCGAAGCTGGAGAAAGAGATCGGCGCCTGAAGCCTGGCCAGAGACCTTGCTTGAAACGCAGTCCGTTCTAGGCCTGTGTTCTTTTTGAGGTCCGCATCGAAATCGCAGCGGTGTCTCGATCGCGTGCCTGGATCCAAAGTGTTGCCGTGTGATAATGGATGAGACATGCGGTGCGTCATTATGCAAGCGAGAAGCCTCATCACTTGCTTGGAAGCACTTTGGAAGCTCTGCTAAGACCATGGCTCTGCTCCCGGCTGGCACGGCAAGTTTGACAGAATGGCCGAAAAGCCAGGCGGGGACCAGGATGACAGTCACACTTGCTGCATCTTGCGGCTGTGTGCACTTTGCCACCGACCAGTGAGAGGAGGAGGAGGCAGACTTGAAGAAGCTCGGTGGTCGACACAGCATGTGAACACACACGGACGATCACGGACGTGTGGGGCAAGGAGCCTCAAGGAGCCGTGCTGCGAGCCAAGGCCAGCATGTTGTCGACTTGGCCGCAGCGAGCGGCCGCCTGGCCGAGATGCAGTGCACCATGGTGCACCAACACATTCCCTTGGGAAAGAATTTCAGTATTGGTACGTTTTTGTCACGGAACGGCCATGCTCTTAGGTGGCCGTGCCCTGATCGTAGACAACACAGCCTTTTCCTCAGCACAAACTTTCTTTGTCGAAGGACCTCGCAAATAGCTCGGACAGCACGGCAATCACTGCATGCGACAGGCCTCTGATACGCCTGCCGAGCTCTATGAGGCAGAGGGCACCTCCTGCAAGGGAACGGTATGCATGTATATTATCCCGTTCTCGGTTCGCCGCCCCCTCCCCCCCGCATGGTATCCCTCCGTCCCCCCTAAACCCTGAACCTTAAACCCTAACCCCAACCCCCCAACCACACCACAAGGGGGTGGACCCCAAAACCTAAACTCTAAGCCTTAAGCCTGAAACCCTGAACCCTAAACCTTAAGCCCTAAACCCTAAACCCTAACGGCGGGACGGGGGTGAGTGTGGACGATCCTAGCGCGATCCAGAAAATGGACACGATTCAGGAAACCAGGATTCAGGAAACCAGCCCTGCGAATTCAGGAAACCAGGATTCAGGAAACTACGCGATTCAGGAAGCTCAAAACGTGCCATTCAGGAAACTGCGATTCAGGAAACCACGCGATTCAGGAAACTGAATAAACGCGATTCGGGAAGCTGCGCGATTCGGGAAACTGAAAACGCGCGATTCAGGAAACTAACTCGCGCGATCCAGGAAACTGCGCGATTCAGGGCATCGACATCCTGCCACGCAAGCCTGCTCTATTGAGGAAGGAATGTAAATTGGGTGTGGAGATGTGTGGGGGGGGGGGGGTTGGTAACCTTCATGTCCCGACCGATTCAGGGAATCGACATCCTGCGATTCAAGACTGCTCGATGCCACACTTTTCCTGTTTCCGGAATTCGTGATTTCCGAATCAGCACTTGTCAGTACTCGAATCACCGGCTTCCAAATCCGGTTATCGCTGATACTGAGTGTCCGGAATCCGCGGTTCGGCAACTCGGTTTCCCGAATCCGGGTTTCCTGAATCCGCGGTTTCCAGGAATCCCCGGTTTCCGAATCCGCGCTTTCCAGGTTCCTGAATAAGCGGGTTTCCCGAGTCCGGGTTTTCCGAACCAGCGCTTTTAGTTTCCCGCATCAGGTTTTCCTAGTTTCCGAATCAGGTTTTTCGAGTTTCCGAATCAGAGCATTTTCAGTTTCCGAATTCGCTGCTGACCGTGTGTGGACCCTAAACCCTAAACATTGTGGACCCTAAACCCTAAACATTAAACTCTAGACCCGAAACCTGAAAAACCTTACCCACCCCCTGAAGGGGGTTTGGCCCGGCCGAGCCCTGATCTATATGATTTCGCCAACCCCCCCGCCCCCACCCAACAGTATCCCCCGCCCTTTCCCCTAAGCCCTAAAACCCCCCCCTCAACCGAAGACCTTAAACCTTGAACCCTAAACCCGAAACCCTAAACCCTAACCCCAACCCCAACCACACCACAGGAGGGGGGCCCTAACCCTAAACCCTAAACCCTAAACCTTAAACCGTAAACCGTAAACCCTAAACCTCAAAAACATGCTGAACCCTAAGCTCTAAACCTTAACCCCTAAACCCTAACCCAACCCCCCGACCACACCACAGGGGGGGCGAACATTGGGAAGGCCCCCGGCCCCGCCCATCCCCCTGTGGTTGTGGGTTGGTTTTAGGCTATAGGGTTTGAACAATTGTTAGGGCTTGGGGTGTTTAGGGTTAGGCCTTGGGGTTATACAGCGGTTTACAGCTTTAGGGTTTAGGGTTGGGCTTAGGGTTTTTAGGTTTTAGGGTTTCAGGGATTCGTGCTTAGGATTTAGGGGGGGAGGGGGGGGGGTGGGACCGAGTTCGCACATCGCACAACCATATGATCACTTTTTGGCTGTCGGCCCATTCTTAATTTGACCGCTAGCGCGCACTGACAGGCTCGGGGGGGGTAACCCATTCCGGGCCAACAAAAACTCGGCCGGAAGTACGCCCAAGATGGGGCGGTTTCCTAGATCTGGATCCACGCGCCTCAGGCCTCCGGCCTCGACGGATATGCTAGGCCTCTCAAGGTAGAAGATGGTAGATGCCAAACATGCGGGCTCCGTAGTACAGCAGAGAAAGTTGCTGTCTAGTCCGAGCTTGTGCGATTGCCGCTGCAGTCAGCTTCATAACAGCATGAAGTTGTATTTTTTCGTTGCATTTTACGTTGCGCCAAGTTCGGTGCTTGAAGGCATGGCTTCTCGCCGGAGCAGATGTTGCAACGCCCAACAAGCGCGCAGGGAGTGGGCCAATGTCCCGCTACGCCCTTCAAGCATGCTTTGCTTCCACGCTGACTGGGGACCCTTAGAGACTCAGAGCCTTGCAGGGCCTTGCAGGGCCTTGCAGGGCCTTGCAGGGCCTTGCAGGGCCTTGCAGGGCCTTGCAAAGCCTTACTACCATTGCGACTACGGCAACTGATCGCTGCCAGGAGAAGATCATGGAGGCGTCTCGCCAGACCGGCGCACGCTTCTTGTATGAGGCCACTGCCCGGGACCCAGTCGCAGTCTCTTGTTGTTTTGCAGAGAGTCTTTTTCCAGATGGAGGACAACATGTCAAAAAATGTCTGTCCACAAGCGCTTGCAGCACTTTGAGGTTGGCGCCGGGCTCCCGGTGGTGGGCCCGCTCCAGGCCTTGCTCAGGGCAGGCGATGAGGTGGACACTGTCGCGGTCTTAGGGCCTCCCGCCTCTGCTTTTGGATGACCCCCTAGAAAGGCCCAAACCGGTCCCAGAGGTGTGTACGAACGCTTTCCTGGTAGAGTTGTGGGGTTTACTTCATCATTTCGGGTTCGCTTTAGGCTTATGTTATGAACCCAAGGCCAGAGACGCTCATCGCTACTCGCTACATGAACAAACCTTTCAAACAGCATTGTGCCAGTAGAGACATGTGGCGACATGCCAACATTGCACAGCCTTACCCTCAGAGCTACTCGTAACAACAACTTAAAGCTTGAGCTTGTAACCATGGCTGTTAATGGCACGGACTAGCCAGCAAATGGCAGGAATGCACTGGGTCCAATTTCACAGGTCTGAACATTTCGCCAGCAATACTTAGCATCTGTTATCCTCGCACCACACTAAGTTCCTGAAGCACAGGTTCCAGTTGTCTGGTCTTAGGTGGAAACTGCAAAATTCAGTCTGGTCGAGCTGATGGATAACTAAGCGGGTCGTTTTTGAGCGCAAGAGAAATGATGGCGGCTTCCCTGCGATGCAGGGCTGTGACGACCACTTGTGCTGAAGTTGTTATTCAGGTTTTGAGAGGACATGCCCTCGGTACACTTCTTTCGACGGTCCAGGCCAGGACCGTTCCAACGCCTCGGTTCAGACCTGGTCCTACAGATGCTGTGCTGTCGGTCCTGGAGATTCACTGAGGGAAGCACAAGAAGCACATGTCGACAAGACATATTTCAACCTCAAGGGAACTCTTAGCATCAACGTGTCTAACCGACTCTAACCTTCCGATGAATCGGCCTGGCAATGTGAGGTCGAAGGTATCTTCAGTGGGACCCTGTCCTACATCTTCAACACGTGGAAGCGGGCATCTCAGGCTGAAGCTGGCCAAAGGGCATTGGACGTCTTGTGCTGAGCCAGGCCCGGCGTGAAGTTCTCCGACGTGGTGAAGGAGGCAAAGGACAAAGGCTTCACGGAGCCAAGGGCTTGGCAAACATTGGCAAACTTCAGTTTCCATTGACAAGGGGACATGTTGGACTTCGCCAGGCCCGACCCTAGAGACGACTTGGGCGGAACTGACGTGCAGCGAAAGGCCCTTGATGACTTTCGTGATCCCGTGTATCAGATCTGTCGAGATGGGCAGCGTATTGCGCGGTTATGCTCTTGTGCGTCTGACACACTGTGTCTGTGTCATGAGCGATTCCTCGCTACCAGGTGACCATCCTAGCAAGAGAGATCGGGCTGAAGATCGAGCTCGATGACGTGCCGGCAGCCGCCTCAATACTGAACCTAGCTCATTTTCATCTGCGATTGCAGAGCCATAGGCCTTGAGCCTAAACCTTAAACCCTAAAGCCCCCAAGAACTTCAATAGCCCCGCGCAGTCGCTTGCTTGGTTTCGGGACGTGTGGGGTTTAGGGTTTAGGGTTCTGGGGTTTGGGCTTAGGGTTCCCAGCGGTTTAGGGTTTAGGGTTTAGGGTTTGGGTCCCAATTCTATCTTCTACGAGGAATAGGACATTTTTGAGGATTCCATGGAAGGTTTTGAGTTGGGTTTAGGATTAGGGTTTAGGGTTACTGAAACACACAATCTTCCTTGGAAAAGGTACATGTTCAGATGTTTTACAGTCCTTCCATGGTGCGGGCTTTGTGATGCTCATGCTGAGGTCAAGTCTCTGGTCCCGGAGAAGCTTCAAACGACCTGGCCTCAGGGCGTTGGGCGATGCGACTTCGCTCCTTGTGAATTTTAGTCCACTTCTTTTGCTTCATCCCCTGTGTTCTCCTCGTTTCCGAGATGGGAAGCACCTGCCGACAAGAAGCTTGGGGATGCTTTCGTAGAGGATTGGTGTGGCTCGCCGGCGTTTTCCGCACCTGCATCGGATCAATTCGGTCGTATGTGCAGGAGTTGGCGGCATATGATGATGAGCCAACTCCTGAGCCCGGAGTTGCCAGATGTGATCTAGTTGTCTTCGAATGGGTGCCCTAGTCGATATTGCTGCCCTCGCTGAGGATGGACGCCCTTCTGGAAGAGGCGGAGAAAGCAAATGAGGTGCTCCGGTTCGTTGGATCCGTGGACGTTAAGTCTGGCAAGGCCCGCAACATGCTTCGCCCCCTCTGATTTTTGACCTGGAAGCAAGAGAGCTTTGCGGATCAGGCTTCCGTGAAGCTTGGCAGATATCCCAAGGCGCTGCGGTTTTATTCAAGAGCATCAGATCCTCTGCGAAGCTGCGAAATGCTGCGCGAAGCATTGTGAAGACAATGGGAGGACCACCCTTTCGCTTCCACCCAGTTTGCCGACAACATCTGCGCAGTTTCCTCGAAGCCATGGTCCCAGGAAGGGATAATTCCATCGTGAGCACAAGGTAACGGATCTCGCTCACAAAGCAGCTTGAGTTCACAAAGCGGCTTGAGTTTTCAGGCCTTCCCAAATAATTCAGATAACGGAGAGTGCAAGGGATCCTGTCACTGCGGGATCTCAGGTCTCTAGCGAGTCTGTACGAAAGTATCACGGCATGAAACCCAGCCAGTACTAAACCCACAAGAGGATGCTCCAAAGCCTCTTGGCCCCCTTGAGAGTGGCTTCAGCAACGCTGTTCGCCACTAAGTCATTAAGACGCACCGGAATCAAAGCGTGTTTCAAGTAAACAGATTTGTTGTCATAGTCCGCCTTGTTTGGTCCGTTCATTCCGTTCTGGTGCAGGTGGTATACCCCTCGGCCTCTTGTTGTTCAAGGCACCCGGCCCGACACTGGATTGGGTGCGATGTTTTAAGGGCTTAAGCGTCTAAGGCATGAAGCAGCGGACTGCATTTTTGCCAGGTCCCGGTGCTGGTGCTGCCGTCACCGCCGCAGGCGTGTTCAGCAACATCATGGAGGCTCCGGGCTTGAACAGAAAGCTTGGGCCGTCATTTGCTGTTGAGCTACACGCGGTTTAGTCCTCCCAAATGCTTCAGCCAAGCTTTCTCACGTGTCAGGTGATGAATGGCATGCGCTGAGACCCTGAGGTTTGCAATTGGCACAGCATTTTAATCTTGGACCGTGCGCCTCCTGCAGTGTCAATGTTGATCTTGCAATAATGTTGCTTTCCCGCATGGCAGACATCATGTGCAAAGGGTTGGTCCAGTGGGAGGCTGCATGATGAAATCTCTTTACCCAAATCAGCGTAGATGCTCGGTGCGCCACCGAGTCCGTTCCGCAAAATCCATACCCAGGCAGTTCTCTCAATTAGGGTCCCTGTTGGGGTCTGCCCTACAAGGGTACTATATCACAATAAGGACCCGAAAAGGGATCCGAATGAACTGCCCGCCAATCATCCTCCCGTGCTGAGAATGCATGGGACCTCTTGAAGACTGAGAGCTGCCCGCAGTTCGTATACCGGCTTCATCCTGCTTCTCTGCATCCAAGCCTTCGACAGAGTCCATACACTCCATGTGGAGCCTGGGTTTGTGGTTCCCTTGTGGTTCCCTCCTTTCAGGCTGGTAGTTGATGTCCGCTGGCCTTTCCATGATGACAGGCTGATATGGTTCTTCTTCCAGACAATTCCTGCAGAGAGTTCTACGCCATTCTAAGCCGTTCGAGCCGGTATAGTCGCATCAAGTCCACAGCAGCCACGAAAGCAGCAGACACAACGCATCAAGGATCCAGTGAGCATTGAATCAAACTTGGGGTATTCAGTGCATGCTGCCTATGGCACAGAGGCTCCCCTGGCATGTTGACAATGATTGCTGGATAGTTAATGTGGAAGCAGATATGCTGGAAGACATGCAGCTGAATGTCCGCTGCATGGCTGGCATATTGATGGGTATAACAGTGATGTTAACAAGATTGCACGGAGGTCTGGCTGGCTTCGTCCCGCCGATGCGTCAGAAGGCAGGTGCTCTTGTGAGATCGCCATTTCTCGCTGCGAAAATTTGTTTCAGGCTAGGGCGCGTCCGACTGGCCCTGATGTCAGAGCAGAGGGTTTGGACCCTGCCGTGGTCTCAATCATGTTCCACTCATGTTCCATCATCATGCTCTCAACATCTTTGTGTGTGTGGTCTGTGCGCACAAAGAGTCCAGGTCACGCAGGCGAGCAACAAAACTTGCTATTTCAGTTGCTGCAATAGAAGCGGAACACACTTGATGTGCCAACCCCTTGAAGAGTGACAGTCGGAGCCGCTTGGAAAGAGACCTTGAAAGGAGTCGTACCGACGTATGATGAGCTTTTTTGGGGCAGTGCGCCGGCGAGCTCGCTCACATGAAGCGTGCTCGTCCAGGGCTCTGCCCCGGGACAACGGCAAGCAAACCAAGCCATCAGTGATGGCGTGAAAATGAGCAAAGCCTTGAAATCCGGAAAGAACCCCCCCCCCCCTTTCTGTTGGGCTTGTGCCGAGGCGACGCTCGGACGAAGCATATGTCAGCATTTGTCTGTGAAAGGCCCTGGTCTCAGACTTCTTACCTGAAGCTTCTGGCTTCGCTCCCTTGCTGCGTACCGCGCACCTTTCTGCCGAGGCTTCTGTATAATAGATCCAGAGGTTGGCAGCTCAATGGACACAGAATGGACAGAGGGCTCAAGAAGCCGCCTCCATTCAAACAGATTCAAACTCTTTCCCCAGGTCGAAGAGGAGTACCTGGACTCCGTACTGGCCGCCTTTGCCCCATCGAGGCGCTGGATGACCTGAGAGAGAGAAGATATCGACCTTCGAAGGATATCTCCGCCGTTGACGAGCAGGGCAGATTCGTTTGCTCCTTACAAAAATCGGGAGAGTCGCGCAGTTCTAGTGCAGCACTTCACGCGCAGCTCATGTTTGCGAGGTTTCAATTCCAGCCGCCATTGTGGAGGAGGGGGGGCATGCCTGGTTTAGCGGGGGATGGATGTACATCGATGTACATCGCACCTCACACCACCTCGACTGCAGGGCTTGCTGGGCAAAGAGGGCTCCTGTCGCGTGGCAGATGTCGGTTGAGCTGGCATGCTTGCTTTGCTTGTTGATTTGATGGTTTTTGATGTGTTGTGTAGCTGTGCAAGGAACGCGGCCCTGCGCCCCGTTCACGCCTCCGGGAGTCCTCTGAACATAGTCTGTGTCTCGCAGGTGTCACAACTGAGAATGCGCTCGTTTCAGTGTTCACTGAGAGCTTTGTGCCGCACACCCAGCTTGAGACGATCGACCTCTTTGGTTCTGGGCCTCCCCACTACACAAACGTGGATGCCTCTCGCCTCGTGATCAGGCGCGATGGCGCCGCGCTTCGCTACTTCGATGCTGAGTTCTCGTGCTGCCGTGCACGAGTTCACGAGTTCATGGCCGTTCATGGCCGTTCATGGCAGTTCATGGCTCCATGCTGTTCTGCTGCTAACTTGAATAAGAGGGTGGGGAGATATGGGCACACTGACCGGGCGAACGCATTGGTTGACTGTCCACTTTGTTCAACAGGAAGAACATTAAGCCCTGGTAGACATGGATGGGGCGTTGACGGCACCAACTTGCCTGACCATCTTAGCTGCAATATCACACGAGCATCGAGTCAACCAAGTCAGCGCAAGCCTCTAGATTAGATCAGACTCCAGAGAAGAGCAAAGCGTCTGTTACTGGTGAAGAGCTGGCTCTGCGCAGCCTCTCTGTCGGGAGCTGAGCTGTGCCCTTTTCGTCGAGCCAAACGCAGCAGCAACAATCAGCATGGGCTGAGGCAATGGACACAGACCGGAAGCTCTACTTGGCCAACCTGCCGCAGGACATCTCCGAGGCTCGGCCTGGCTCGGCCCTCCGCCCCGTCCCCGGCCCCTCCCCGCCCCCTCCCCACCCCCTCCCCGCCCCCTCCCCCCTCCCCACCGCCGCCCCGCCGCCGCCGCCTCCCCGCAGCGTCCGCCATCATCTTTACATGTCTTTCAGTTGCTGGTTTGGCGTTTTTGCACCTGGCAGGAAGAGCTCACGGAGGTCTTCGGTGTCTATGGCCGAATAGAAGAGGCAGGAAGCCCAGCAAGGCTGGCTGGCAAGTACTCGTGCACCAGGAGGGTAGCATCGACCAAGGTGATTGTCCTAGGTTCCAGAGCCGCAGACAGGCCTGCGTTGGAGGTCGCGCCGCACTCGTAGAAGGGCACGAGCTCGACGTGTGCAGGACCGACCGCACGGGGTTCGTCAAGTTTCTGGACAAGGACTATCGGCAGTCCCTTGCACATACGGCATTCTGAAGGGAGGAAGCACCCCTCACCCCCTCCCTTCACCTCAGCCTCCCCTCACAACCCGCCCACGTTTTAAAGGACGTATATTATAGTCATTGTGTTTTTGATATTCGTTTTTCAGTTTAATCATTTCATATTCAACTTTTCTTGGCTTAGGGTTCAGGGTGTAGGCTTGATCAGGGTTTTGGGAGCAAGGGTGTGTGGGTTCAGGGTTGCAGGGTTTAGGGTTTCGGCTGAAGAACAGCGGAGGAGGCAGCGCTGGCAGTCGTCAAGTCCGCTTTCAAAAGGGTTTTGGGTTTAGGCTTTAGGGTTCTAGAGTTTAGGCTACTAGGATTTGGGTGCTAGGGTTCAGGGTTTTAGGGTTTAGAGTTGTAGGGTTTGTAGTTTAGGTTTGTGTGTAAGGTCATTCTTTGCCTTCTTTTCTGGCTGAGTTTTCCCATGTTTTGACTGACCATGTCAAAGAGCACAAAACTTATTCGCAACTCACAACAACCGCTGCAGGGCCATCGCGATTGGGATTCCAGGGGTACTCTGCGCATGGTGTGGGGATATCTGGGGGTGCTCACGCCATCGATGCCCTGTAGGATTCTTCGCGGACTTGGGTGTGGCACTGCTATCACGCCATGGATTCTCTACGGGGTTTCTCTTGGGGTGGGCACTCGGTGGGCACTCGGTGGGCACTCCAAGGATTGCGGGTATCTCGGTCTGTGCTCTGTGGGATTCTCTGCGAAATTCTCTGGAGTGGGCACTGGACTCAGTGGGGTTCTCTGGGTTCTCGGTGGGGTCATCTGGCATGCTCTGCGGAGAGTTCAGCCGTGGGAATTCCCGAGCCAGAGGCAAGAGCTGCAGAAGGCTTCGCACGAATCGGGCACAAGGAGACTCAGCCCAGAAACGCCAGTAACACCATCTCTGTCAACCAGGACCATGCGCACGAAACCTGAAAACCTGAATCTGGCCCCATGCTCGGCTTGCTGCTGGCTGTCCAAACCTGTCCTGGTGCTTTGGCCTAACTTGTGGATACACCCCTGGTGTCCCTCACCCTCAAGACCTTCTATTCATAACTTCTCTGTTGCGGATTCAAAGCCAGGGTCACTCACGCCTACTCGCGGAGCACGATTTCCTTGTCCAGCATGCGTGCGTACTCAGCCTTGATTCCGTCTCTGTTGTATCCAGGCATCATCATCTGGATTTGCGATTTGTATTCTGATGATGGTGTGGGGTGGACTCCGGTGGTCAGATGTTCAGCGACTCAAATTCGGGCTACTCGCGCTGCGTGGGGTGTCCGCTTTGGTCAAGTTCTCTCTCGGTTGCAATCCGAACAGCCTGACCGGGACTTCTTAGTGGCCAGCGGCGGCAAACACTTTTCTTTGCACTCCTGCAAAGCCACGACGCTCTCTTGGGCCCTGCAGCTCGATGTGAAGGAATCGTGGAGGATTGCGCAGGGCCATCACAAGCCTTCTCACAAGTCAGCGCAGAAATATGGCCGTGATGACGCTGCGCTGCCAGAAACGGCTGTTAAGCGCCATCTAGCACGGCTGGCTACCCGTGACACCGTTACAGCGTGGGGTTTCTGGCCTCCAGGAAGACGCGACCTTGGTCTCCAACCTCATTCCGACGCAACCGATTCGGAGTCTTCGGACGAGTCCTCTGTGGAGGAGTCTGCACCGCGCCAGTCAGATGACGAGGATGATGAAGTTGTCTCTGGCTCGGTCGAGTACGACGCGGCTGAGGGTGGACACCTGTTATTTGATGAGGATTTGCCTTGGGTGTTGAACAGCCTTTCAGGAATGTTCCACAAGGCCGTGGAGGAGTCACCGCTGGCAATTTGCGCTGGAAGGACCGATGCTGGGGCAGGGCCTGCCGTCCGTGCGACTCACCATCGGCGCAGAATGCCTTGGTTCACTCGGATCCCTACCTGCAGGGTTATCAACGGTGCGGCCACAGCGGTTGTTTCCCACAATCTTCCGGATGATGGCCCAAGTTGCCGGTGTTACGCGTCGTAATAACACGGGCAGAGTGTCTAAATCCCGCGTCCTGCAGCTTAACGCGTGTCTGAGTTCATCTTGCTAGCGAGTGTTTGCCATTTGCCTTGCTCGCTGACGCGTGTCAGCCCGGTGCCTGCGAGATGAGTGTCTCCCGTGCCCGCTCTATTCTTGGTTGCGGGCGAGTGTCCGCCGCTTGCTGACGAGTGTCAGTTCGGGTTTGTTGGGTTTGCGAGTGTCTTTTCAGATCTTTGCAGATCTTAATTTGCAGTTTCGCATTCATCCCAGCGTGCCTTATTTGCCTGCGTTATTCTCTTGTTGCTGTCTCCATGGCTGCAGCCCAGTGGAAACAATTATTGCGGGAGTCCATGGTGCCCAAGAAAGCAAAAAAGTAGGCGTAAGCAATCAACAACATCAAGAACAAGCACACCAACAACAACAAGCACAACAGATAGGAATACCATTAGCAAGGACGACAACAAGAGCAACAACAAGAACAAGTAGCCACGAAGGGGGACAGCATTTGCACCTGGCCAGATTTCGGGTCTGCCAGGAGGACGCAGCAGCGGCGCTGGCTGTCCTCAACGACATGCACTTAGCTCACCTAAACCCACACGCCTAGTGGACCTGGCGTAGCTAGATGGCCTAGAGCTTGGTGGCGCTTGCGGCGCTTGCTGCAAGCTTCCTCACATCAGCCCCGGGTCCTCGGTTGTTGGGCTTTGTTCCAATTTCCGGCCAAGGACATGTACCAGTTTCGTGAAGACTCCTCGGAGGCCGTTCGCGTCAGCTGGGCAAGGCAACGTCGGCAACGTGGTGGATGCTGCAAGGAATATGAGTGAATGAGGGCGAACGTCGGGATGGGCGTTGGGCTAGTCAGTGGCTAGTCTCTGCCATGCTTCTGGGATGTCGTCTTGGATGTGCCATGGGCGCAGGCCTCATCGCGACGACAAGGGGCACAAAGGCCATGGTCATGGCTACGGCGGCTATGGGTACGCGGCAGGTGTGTTCCTCAGGAAAGTGCCGGGAGAGACCGACAGTCACTGCTCATCAGTTTCTGTTACGCACATGGAAAGCGCGCACCTCGAAACTGCTGAGCAGGCTCGCCAGCTGGCAAGGGTGCACCGGTTCCTGCACTGCGCTTGGCTTCAGGGGCACGAGATTTGGATCGTCTGGGTTCCTTTTGCAAGAAGCTTGTACGTGCGAAAGCATATGTGCAAGCAGCGCATATGTGCCAGAAGCAGATGTGCAAATGAGGCGCCTCCGACCGGAGGGCCGCCGCCCCCACCACCTGCTGCACCGCCTGCAGCCCCACCACCCCCACCGATGCCTGCAAAAGGCGCCAGAACAGGGTAAGTTTTAGGGTTGCTTCAGGTTTAGGGCCGAAGGGAGAGCAACTGCAAGAGCAACTGCAGCAACTGCGCACCCGCGAGTGCATGTCATTGGCACCGTGCAGGCGGCGGCGCCTTCAGAGGGCCCGGCCAGGGCGAGAAGCTTTGGGTTCATGGCTTAGCTTGGCGTAGCATGGCGTAGCATGGCCACGAGGATTTGCGTGGCCAATGGCTCAATGATGGCCCACTGGTGGTGCTCTGCTCGTACCTGCTCTGAGGTCGGCAATTTGCCCGGTGACATCAGCGAGGCTGAGATGTACAAGGTGGGTGTGCCGTGCATTGCTAAGCTGCCACCCAGCTTGAGCTTGAGACTCGGTCATGAGAGCTGTAAGCAGCTGCACGGAAACATGTGGCGGTGGCAGGCATTTGGTCAGTTCGGCAGTGTCGACGAGGTCAACATTCTGCCAGCTAGGTCCAGGACTGATCACGAAAAGCAAGGTTGCCTTGGGCCGTAGTTCAGGGCCTACGGGGCTTGAGTTTTGTGGGTTGACATTGAAGTTTCAAATGGATTCAGATGGTCTAAATGTCAGAAGCCGGGCAAAGGATCGTGAGAAAATGTCCCGCTGTCCTGTCCACCGCTTGTTGAATAGACGCTAGATAGTCATTCTTTGTGTCTTGTTGGGCATGGGCGTGCTGAGGAGAGGGGGGGGGGATGTGGTGGGCGAACCTTGAATTATTGATTCTGGCAAGGATTGCAGGGAGGGAAGGGGTCAGAGGCAAGGGGGGTGCAGGGAGGCTCTGGGGGGCTGGGCTAAAAGGATTCGAGCAATGACGATTCGAGCACGAATCCCGACCGAAAGACGGGTGATTCACGTGGGAAGGCAGTTCAAGCACTGGCAATTTAGCACCGGCGATTCAAGCGCAAGTGCGACTTGAGCGCCACCGACTAAATCATCATCTCGTTTTGGGGAAAGAGTGATATTTGTATCAATGTCGCTGTCACTTTCATGACCCCGTTTTTGCGGCTTTGCACCCCTAACCCCCCCAATCTCCGATAGTGGGGTTTAGGGCAAGAAGCCCCCATCTCCTTTCCCCATTTCAGGTTTCTACCCTCCATCCACTTTTGGAGTTTAGGATGTCGCATTCGTTCTTTTAGGGTCTAGGAGTGCGCCACTCTGATCTTCAATCTCCTCGTGAGGCCTCAGGATGTCACAGCTCCTATGTCTTTTATGGTTAAGGTCCGCGCATTCATCATCTCCTTGTTGCGCGAACATGGATCCACGTTCATCATCTCCCTTCAACGCTAACGGGCTCGAAAATGCTGATTCTCCCATCCGCCCTATACCTGGGCCCAAATCCCCCCTGGTCCGGGCACGTCGGCCGCGGCTGGATACAGGTCGACTACGGGGGGTACCCATTCCGGGCCATAAAAAGCGCAGCCGCAGGCCTGGGACACTTCTTAGTGGTTCCCTAGACTTGGATCTAAACGCCTCAGGCCTCCGACCTCGGCTGATGTGAGTTTTTTTTTTTTTTACTTTGGTCATTTGCTGATTTCAAGCCGTCACCGAGTGAAGCACCACCATGTCCTTCGTTGAGGTTCTACTGGCACACCCCATCTCTTCTTAGGGCTTCGAGGTTCGGCTCGTCATCTCCTTTTCAGCTTTTGGGCTGTGCACCCTTGCCAAGATTTGTCCATTCAGCTCCCTTTGAGTTGTGGGCTTCCAATTCTTCTCTTTTTTCAAGGTTATATCTGCCTTCCGCACGTTATCTTCTTTTGAGGCTTAGGGCTTTGCATCCCATACTGCCCAAACTCCGGATTTTCCGTTTCCTTAAGCGTATGCAGCCTCATCTCCTCTCCTTTTCCCGGTTTCTGCCGCTCATCTCCTTTGGGTGTAGAGCTCAGCGCCCAGCATCTTCTTTCAGGTTTAGGGTTAGCTGCCCTCTTCTTTGATTTTCGGTTGCCTGCCCTCCATCCCGGGATTTTCGCAACTGGTGCCCGAAGCCCCTGCGTACATGTGCACATCCCCGGTGCATGAATCCATCTTGCCAATGCGCGAATCCGCCGCTTCGGTGCGCAAATCCCCGGTGCGCGAACCCACCACTTCAGTGCGTGAAGCTGTTATACGTGAATCCGCGGCTAGGGTGCGCGAATCCGTAGTGCCCGAATCCGTTAATCCAGTGTGTGAATCAGTTTCCAGCCGCTTTTGGGCGCTTGAGAGTTCATCCCGAATCCGGTAGTTTGGTAGTCAGCCACTCTTTAGCAGATGTGTGAGAGGATGAAATTCTTATTGGGGCCTCAGCTTTGAAATGCTCGCAGGATGCCATGTTCTTGTGGAAGTGTGGAGTAGCAGTGTAGTACATTACATCCTTCTCGGCGACGGGGAGTCATTGAATGCTCACTGGCTTGCATGTTCGCCCGCAGGCTTTTTGCCTGTGCACGCTGGTTCCAAGGCGGTTCAAAGGCATGCACACCTTTGAACTTGCAAGCCCGCAAGCCTGCTCTTGCTGACACGCACATTCGCTCCGGGGATTGCCGTCGTCGGGCCGAAGATTTGCTTAGGTCGAGCCGGGAACCCAAAAACCAAGCTCACAGAAATCAGAGTATGCCAGCCCACGAGTTGGCGAGGGGGAGGTCGGGTTGCAATTCTCGCCACAGTCCCGCCCAAGCTCGCACCCCGCAGGGCCACAGGGTCCCGCCAAGAATCCTCGCAGAGCCCCCGCTTGGCACCCCAAGCGAGAACCCAACCCCGGGTGGTTTTCGGGAGAAAGCACTGCGGCGAGGAGTGCTGAGTGTGGGGACGTTTGCAGGTTTGCAGTGGTGCGCAGCGCTTCTGTCACAGCTTGACACAGCTTGTCCATGGGATGTCCAGGAGCGGTCAGCTCTGTGCCTTTGTTCGCTATGCCACTCGTGAAGAGGCGAGAGGTCCTTGTAGAGCCTGGCATCGGATGCCCTCCTTGTGGTCATTGTAGAGCTGACAAGAGCTGTCCTGCATAGGCTCGACTAGTTGTGATAGGTGCATTGAACGGATTTGTGTCATGTTGTGTCATGCCAGCAGGAGACCATGCCTCTCTGGATCATGTGCAGACAGTATTGCCAGTATCCATGAGCCTGCATGCCTTCTGAACGCCCTAAACGGCACTTCAAAGGGGATCCATGTCCGTTGAAGCCAAGCCCTGAGGCTTCCGGATCGTATGAACTGTCACTGTCGATAGCCATCAACCTCAGCCTTGATGCTGACTTTTGACATCTTTTGACATATGCTGACAATTCTGGGTTTCCTGTTCCACCACATGTCTGCTCACTTCTCCCATGGGCAGCTCTTGCAGTCAAAGTGATGCAGTCTGTGCTTGGTACCAGTAGCCTGCTAGCCAGAGACATCCAGAGACAGCAAGTTTCGTGGCGGAGCAGATCAGTTGTCGCCACGCATGACTCATGGACGATGGTGCCACTGGATTGTATGGAGACTCCACTAATCTCCGCTGTCAGATGGACATGAGTAGGCCATGAGTGTAACCGCTTCCCGGATGGCCAAGGTTGGCGCTTGCATTTCTGTAAGGCCAACTTACGCGCATGTGTGTTGCCATTTGAGTGCTGATAAACTAGCCTGCTTACGTGAGTCCAAGTCAACATTCCCAGGACCGTACGCATGTTTCAGATTCGCAGACTTTCTCCGTACATGCGCTAGCAGCACGCACTCTCCAGCTGATCAATGCAGCATATTGTGCTGGTGAAGCACGATTGCCAGTACTGAAAGCTGTGAATTGCAAGGTTCTGCCTGCATTGAGTGTGACCTCTGTGCTAGCGAACATGTTGAGCCTCCTCTCCCCCATCTTCCACCTGCACATGCCTCTCCGCTTTGCCATGGCCACCTGTGCCAGGCTGACGCCTGCATCGCGGGCATGGTAGCGTTTAAGTTTCGACCAGGCCTGTGAGTGGGGTGCAGCTGTGGACCAGTCGTTTTGGCTCCTGAAACGCAGTGCTCCTGCCAGGGGATGCAGAAGAGCTCAAGATAGAACGCCCGACGCAAAGGAAGGGAGGCAAAGGCGCAGATCAGAACACAAAAGTATGCTGCTGCACGTCGATTCTGAGAAGCTTGCCAGGCGACGGCTGGGGCAAGGGTGGCTGGGGCCACGGCGGCTGCGGAGGCTGCGGTGGCTGCGGCGCCTGTGGAGGTTGCGGAGGGTGTGGAGGCTGCGGTGGCTTTCCCGGTTGTGGTGGCTGTGGTGCCTGCGGCTACCCGGGCGGCTGTGGTGGCTGCGCTTGTGGCGGCTGCGTTGATGGCCAGTGGGGCCAAGGCTGTGGAGGCCCCTCTTGGAAGAGATGTGACACGTAGACGATATGCAAAGGATTTCTTCCCGAAAGTAGACTTCTCCCCTCCATGACGTGCCCAGCTGTATTTCTGTTCGGGGCGCTTTACATTGTCCAGGTCGTTTCTGGTGCGAAGCAGATGTGATGGGTGCAGTTTCCCCTTTGGACCCTTGAACATGCTAAAGGTCGTTTTCAGGGTTCATGGGGTTTAGGGTTTAGGGTCAAGTTCAGGTGTAGGAGTTAGGCTTCCAAGTTGTGGATCTTGAAGATGTCTGTAGTGATTGGGAAGTGCAGACATGGGCGCAAACGGCCCGTAAGCCTGAAAAAGAATGGAGACCTCGGAAGGGCAGCAAGGGGGGACCCCACATATCGGGAGCTCAGCAAGAGCAAGAGCTGCGAATGCGGTGCCCTGCCTCCGCTGTAGCTGGGGCCGGGGACCCCGTTGGTACTTCCGCGGCATCGCTGTCCGTGGTGCCTCCGTGACCCTGGCCGCTAGTCGGCTTAAACGAATCCGATGTCAACTGCTGCCTGGTACGCGATGCTAGCCAAAGTTCAGGGCTCACTGGGTGGGGTCAGCATGGGGTTTTCGATCGATTTAGGGAGCTGCAGAGCCCGACAAAACGGAGCTCTGGATGTGCCTTTGCCAGGCTGCGGCCAGCGGTACCAGCCGTACTGAGAGCAGAACCAGACTGAGCCACTGGCAGGGTGCGTGGTGAGGTGTAGGGGGCACTTAGCTTGGCATCTGGAACCATGGACTCAAGGATCATGGTTGCCGCCGTCCTCCAACTCGGCCCAGAATCTAGCGCCACAAAAGACACATCATGGACCACATCCATCCCGTGCTTTAATGATCATCTGCGCCGCTCTGCTGAGTGTTTCATCTGACTCCTCAGTGCGGCGAGACAAGCGAACTCTTGCCCTTGCCGAATGCCTCTACGCCTTCTTTTTCGCCTGCCGTTGCTCATCGTGCTGCCAGGAGATATGCAAACCTCCTCTCGGCCCACCTGGCCGTCGCAAAGATGCCGGTCAGCTGCCCAACACATCCGCATTCCCAGAGACATGGCTTGAGCTGAGGAGTTCAGGAAGCCTAGCGGGCTCTTTGCAGCCCATTTCCTCCTTTGTTCAGTTGTCCGGACAGCCTCAGCTGTACAGTGCATCTGAAGAAACACGGAGCCATGTCCAATGTGGAGGCAGGATGTGATAGTCAATGAGACTCTTGAGCTCAGGTGACGTCAAGATCAAGCTCGTTGCTTCATGAGGCCGAAGCTGAACCAACACTCCACTGGGGGCAGCATCATTGAGAGGGCCCCAATTAGATAGTCAAGAGATGCTGGGTGCATATCGCGAGCATCAGCATCATGAGGGTGTGAGGCCCCTAACCACACAAGTTCATCATCGTGAGCGTCACGCACCACGGTTGGGAGGCCGCCAAGCCGAAATCAGAAGGTCCGACGCTGACGGAGGAGGCCCTGCCAAACAGGGCAAAGGCATGTAGCTTGTCACCAGGAAACCCCCGGGAAATCCCTAGGTGTCAAGCCGAGTCCTGGTCTGTCGAGCTTGAGATGCCCATGATGCCCAGGTTTGCAGCAAGTGGCTGAAGGTCATTAGCAGCCACAGGCCCGTCTTGAGGAGTCTTGAGATGGCCAGCTGCAGTGCTACAACATGCTACAATCCACAGCAGCTCCGGTGATAGGCTGATCTGCATCTGGTGCCTGGGTCCTGAGCCGATGGCTGAGTTGTTTTTTTGGGAAGCTCTCGTCCCATGACGCAGAGGCAGAGGGCTCAAGTGCTTTCCTAATCCTCCCCCAAGGAGCGGGACGCTGGAACTGAAGCCTTGGGATGCCGATGCCGAATCCATGCAGGCGAGTTGCACCCTTGCGCAAACTTGTGTTGCCAAGTACGGGGATGCCTGTTGGTGACGCTGCTACCCGGCTTACCACCCTTGTGAACTGCTGCAGGTCACCCTAAGACCTGGCCGCCTCGTGATTGCTCGCTGCATCCTCAGCGGTCGTTGAATGCAATTTGATGCTCTTACACTTTGCGCATACATGCGCTGAAAGTCAGTGAAGGTCAGTGAAGGCCAAAGTCAGTTGACAATCTCGTCCGATCTTCTTCCGAAAGCTGAGGTGCGGATGCGCTTCACCACCGCTTTTCGTCCGTGGGCTGCGTAAGGCTCTCATACTAAAGGTCTTGGCAGCAGGTAATTGCCGGCATGCGATAAAGAGTCGTCAGGCACGGTCAAACAGTATCCGAACCGCCAAGGCTTACTGCTTGACATGTTTCCTCAACAATATCGTCGCTGCCGAGCAGGCGAGGCTCTGCATGGTCCAAGGGAGTAGCTGGCAGCAGCTAGAAGCTGAAGTGAAGCTGACGCCTGTGACATTTTCACTCGCTCCAGGAGCCCGTCAGCCCTTGCGGGCTCGCCAGGAGCTCAAGCACTCTGCCGCAACATGGGCTGTTGACCACTGCTGCTTGCTCTCAGGCCCTGCAAGAATGGGCTAAAGAGAGGATGAGCCGCTACAAACAGAGCACGGTGCAGGACAAGGGCTACTTGTTTTCCATTGGCGCGTGATAGTTGCCACGTGTTGTGGCGGCGGAGCTGAGAGCATGACGTTTCCTGTGTCCGGTCATGGAGTGCACCAGGAGCAAAGATACATGGAGATGCCCCGAGAATGGGAAGAGAAAGCGAACCGAAATCTTGTTAACGCGGGCATCTTACACAGGGGGGCGCTTGCCGCTTGTCAGTGTAGCTCTTGACGGCGCAAGAAAAACGTCAAGTAAGCAAGTGCCTTGTAAGAGCTAGTCATGTCTGGTCATAGTCCCGGCATGCTCAGACGCAACGGATCGCTCTTCGAACGGCCTGTGTGAAGCAGCCGGGAACGTCCGAAGCCCGGCAAGAGTCTACGTGTCACCAAGAACCAAAGCTGAGTTTAGAACCTTGCAGCGGACGCAGACATGCATCCTACATGAAGCCCACTGTCTGTCCGTCGATCTCACAGCCACATCACTTCATCTCTGTAGCCTTCACAAGAGCTTCGCAGGGAAGACGCCTTGGGATTTGCCCTGGCCATGAATGCTGGCCCAGACTTCGCACTGAGTGTCGGAACCTCAGCAGATGGGACGATGGGCTCCAGGCCTCAACACGCTCTTGTGGGAGGGAGTTATGAAGTTCTCGGAAGGTCCCAATGATGAGATGGGAGCACGAGACGGTGTACGAGGACGACGTTCAGGCGCTGTTCTCACTTGTAGTAGCAGGCGCTTGTCATCTCACCTTCCGCTTCTCTTCCAGGCATGGCAGAATGGTAAAACGTGCTGCATGCACGGCAAGGGCCTTACACGGAGTCCTTGCCAGGAGGGTTTAGGGTTTAGGGTTTAGGGTTAAGGTTTTAGGGTTTAGGGTTTAGGATGCAGAGAACCCCTACGGATTGCAAAGTACTTGTGTTGAAGGCATGTGTCAGTTGCCGAGAGTTGGTGAATCGACAGCTGGGGTTGAAGGTGAGCATGCACCTGGGTTCATCTGTTTTTTCTTGTGTTGTTCCACTGCATGTTCTCCCAACGGTCAAAGTGGCAAAGGCACATTCATTGATGGTGTCGAGCTCTTCGACTGTACTGCCTTCCGAATCTCCAGAGCTGAAGCCTCCGGCAGGGGGCTTAAGTCTCGGAAAATGGCTTCTCTAAATGTGCTGCTTTGCTTGGCTCCGTCTGGCACTGCGCCTAGTCTGCTCAGGCATGGATCCAGGTCATCGACTCACCTTGGAAACAGGCTACGAGGCCTGGATTCAGCCTACCGGAGGCCGACACATGCGATCCGTCACTTTTGGATCCTGGCACAGGCACTTGTGAAGGATGGGTACAGAGCAAACACGCTGATGAACAGTCGGGGCGGCGTGTGCCCCATGTGCAGCTCTCATGTGCGACTCTCATGTGCAGCTCCCACACCGCCAACCCTGTGATGAGCGATGTGGGAGCCGGATCAATATGGGACACTGGTGCAGAGGGTGCTTTCGTGCGCAAGTCCTCACAGAAAATTGCCGGAGCCATATCTGTCCAGAACCCAGAACCTCAGGATTGTTGAGAATTGTTCCCACAGAATCCACAGTGCCTCCACATCACCATGCAGCCTACGATGGCTTAGACCGATTATGCCAGGTACGTGGCGAATCCCCCGCCCATGGAGTGGAACATGACGCCCAAGGACATCGCTGCCGGCGGCGTCTGTGGCCCTGGCCTGAGGTAGAGCAACGGGCTGAAGGGAGAATCTGTAAGACACAGGCGACATGAGCAGCCCCGGTGGTTGAGTGCTTCTCTCAGGTGGCGGCGGAAGTATCGCATGCGGCCGCTTCTCCTTTGTGCACGGCCTTAAGGCTCCGTTAAGGGTTCAATGCCGGCCTTTCAGCTGTAGAGAGCACTGCCGTTCAAGTGAGTTTTCAGCTTTTCCCTACAATTGAATCTTGGCAGGGTCCGTGCATCAGCGTTGATGTCGAGGGAGCCTCTTCGTTGGTTACGGTGAATTACGCCTGGTGCTGCCTGCGAGTGCCTTGCAATGTGAGCCGCGGCAGTTGTTCACTTCTACCGTCAGCACAAAATCAGTGAGCACCGTGCCAGTGCCAACCTCTCCAACACTGGGGGCTGGGAGCCCATCCCCTTCGCGCTCTGCAACTCCTGGAATCTCCAGCTGAACCCCGCGCAGAGCACCGAGCCTTCCGCTGGAGAATTGAGAAAAAAGAATTGCTTTGCAGTGCTCGGTGGAGGGTGCTTGGTCCACATGGGCGAGGCCGTACATCCATCTTTCCTCATGTGGACTGCTGTCGCCGAAGGTGCGGCCTTAGAGCCAGGCATGTCATGCAATTTGTGCAGTCACAGATGCAAACCCAGAAGTTGCCCAGATTAGCGCAACTCGCCGCAGGGGCGCACGTTCACTTTCGACGCCTCTGCTTCTGGTCCAGAGCTCAAGATACTCCATGGGGGGTGTGGAGGCGTGTGTTATGCTTGGTGTCTGTGTAGGCGTGTGGCATGTTTACAGGGCTGTTTGGGTGTTTAGGCGGATTTGGATTATGCGATGTCTTACGTCTGCTTTCGGGTGTGATTCCCATCCAATGCCCGTCACAGACACCACGCCGCCACACACCGCAGCATCTGCTCAAGCGGCCTCACGAAGCCAATTGGCAAACCCAGCGTCGCGAAGTTGTGTCATTTGCTAAATTTTTGCCCCACACTCCCGAGACACAGAATAGTGTGAATAGGTTCCGGCCATGGCAGACAGGTACACCCACGGCCACCACAGCAGTGTTGTTACTCAGCATGCCGCCCGAACTGTTGAAGGCTGTGCGCACTTTCTGCTGCCCCACTTACAAGCAGACTTTACTTTGCTGGACGTAGGGTGTGGGCCCGGCTCCATCACCCGTGGCTTTACGAAGTACGTCAAGTCGGTGACTGGCGTCGACAGCTCTGAGTCTGTGATCGCGCAGGCGCGCTGCGATGCGGAAGGAGATGATCGGACCGAAAGCATTGATTTCCAAGCGGCGAGCCCGAATCCCAGATTGCCCAGTGACTTATATGTGTAGGCACTCTCCTGATGAAAAATGTTTTTGAAGTGCTGAGGCGTGTACAACCTGCCGTTCCAAAACTCAACCTTTGATGTGGTGTTCGCCCACCAAGTGCTGCAGCACTTGTCAGAGCCAGTCGCAGCGCTGCAGGAGATGCAGCGTGTCTGCAAGGAAGGGGGGCTGATAGCCGTCAAAGATGCGGTATACTCCACGATGCGAGGATCCCCACAGCTGCCAGGCATTGACAAGTGGCGGGATGTTTACATGGCCACTGCTCGTCAGAACAAAGCCGAGCCAGATGCAGGACTCTTTCTGAAGAAGTGGCTGCTTGCGGTTGGACTCCAGGACGTCGACTACACGAGCTCGACTGTCACTTACTCGTCTTCCAACGAGACGGCAAGAAAGGCTTGGGGCGAATCATGGGCAGAGCGTACCATTCATTCCTTCGGGGCGCAGGCCCTGGAGTATGGTGTCGCACAGCAGTCAGAATTGCTCGAGGTTGCAGCCGCATGGAAGGAATGGGCGGCAGATTCGGAGAGTATTTTCTTCTTTGTGAATGGCGAATGCTTGGGCAGGAAGCAAAGCAAATAGGTTGCAACACCTGTCACACCTGTACCAGAAGCAGCCTCAGACACAGTGCTGAGCCTAACAAAGCCTGACATCGAGAGAACTGGCCATATACAGCCATGAATCTGTACAGTTTCCCTAGTGCGCCTAGCTCGACGGAGCCAGCGTCAAAAATCGCTCGAACTTGCTGGTCGAGGGCCGGCCTGACATCTTCATTGAACGGCATTCTGCTGACTGTTCGGAGCGCAGTCATCTGCAGTGAAACTACCAAACTAGGTCCAACACCCCTTGTAGACACGTAGGTGGGTCAGGCAGCGTCGGGCAGCTCTGTCCTGGCATCAGCTTGCATCAGCTTCAGTCGCTCAGGATACATCCGCGGAGACTGCGTCACCTCCCTCGTGCTAAAGGCAAGCCCCAGCTTCTCCGAGCCATTTTCCAGCCAGATCCATGCGTATGGGTTGGGTTCGGCCGGTCCACACTAACAGTCAAATAACGCCGTGGCCTTATAACACACAGGCCAAAAATAGCACCAGGAATCCCAGTCAATTTTAGCATTTACCGGGTGCTTATTTTTGTGGGTCTGCTGGTGGTGACTGTTAGTCACATAGCAGCAGAAATAGCACCAGAAATATAATAGCACAAACAATAGCACAAAAAATAGCACCAGGAATAGCACAAAAAATAGCACCAGAAATAGCACAAACAATAGCACCAGAAATAGCACCAGGAATCCCTGTCAATTTTATCAGCTTAGCATTTACCGGGTGCTGTTTTTTTGTGGGTCTGCTGATGGTGATTGTTAGTCACATAGCACCAGCAACAGCACCAGAAATAGCACCAGAAATAGCACAAACAATAGCACAAAAAATAGCACCAGAAATAGCACAAACAATAGCACAAAAAATAGCACCAGAAATAGCACCAGGAATAGCACAAAAAAATGCACCAGAAATAGCACCAGAAATAGCACCAGGAATAGCACCAGGAATAGCAGGAATCTCAGTCAGTTTTTTGGCATTTACCGGGTGCTTTTATTTGTGGGTCTGCTGGTGGTGACTGTTAGTGTGGACCGGCCGAACCCAACGTATGGGTACCCAAATGCGTATGGGTCCCTGCAAGCTTAGTGGGCTGGTTGTGCCCACAAGTCACCGAGAGCCGGCAGAATGCCTTCCAATTACAGTAGTGGCTACTCGGGCCTGGACTGTGCAGGCCGGCAACGTCGAGGGAGAGGTGCCTCGTAATGCGACTTTGTGATGGGTTTTCCATGTCGCCACGGAATCTTGATGTCGGACAGCAATTATCACTTCTAGATATCGTGCTTGGGAGATTCCCTTGTCTGATCAAGTTCGGCGAAGTTAGGAGGTGAACGAGCTCGGATACCTGGCCGGAAGTGCCACGAATCAAAGCGGAAGGCTGGGGATGGGAGGGGGTGAGACAGTTTTCCCTCGACAACTCGATCTCTCCTGCAGATAGCAGAAGTCTCATAGCAGAGTCGCGTGCAGCTTTTCAAAGCCCTTGTCCGAAGCCAGTGCTTGTAGGAGAAGTCACCTGGCTGCCCCGGATTGTCTGGCACTGCAAGAAGTGGTGCATGAGGCTCTTCCGCCGCGTCAACTTCCTACTGCTGTGTGTTTTTTCATGCAGATGTTTCTTCTTCCCTCTTCTTCTTTGGTGACGGCGATGGAAGTCCTGAGAAGTTTGAGAATGCTAGGCCCTCCGGCAAACACAGATAACTCCGCTGGATGTCGATGCAGTGGAGAGCTGCGCGGATGGAAAGATTCTGGACGACTCGCTCGAGGCCAACTTTATTGATCTTCATGCCAATCGGCTCGGTTGAGAGCAGCCACGCTCAACAATTTTTCGGGTGTGCCATGACCTTCGCCTTGGGTTTGCCGACTTGAGTGCTGATGGCGTTGTGGAGGCAACCGCCTTTGCTCGGGCATTCCGACCACAGGCTTTCGGGCCCCGAAATGTGTTACAGTGACGAAAAGTGGCCACACAGCATTACACCAAGAGCTGCATGATAATGCTCTCGTTGTTCTGCACTTTCCGACAGCTGATGCACACGTGCATACAGGGTACACTCAACGTCGATGATGCGGCTCCGCTGGACATCATCTCGGCCAAGTCTAGCGCAGACGGCCCAGCATGTGCAGGGTACCGGGAGCATCCGGGAGCCCCAAGAATCTCTGTATGCCCTCCCTGATCTTCCCGAGCCCACGTCATCAAAAGGCCGGTAACCAGCTGGAAGCCATGGGCATGTCCCAGATCATCAAGGCCGGGCCGAATCGAAGCCTCAACAAGTGCCCCCCCCCCCACCCCAAGATGTCTCGTTTTTTCTCTTGCTTTTTTGTGCCAGTATGAACCCCCGAGTTCTCTCTGAGAGGTGATCCTGGGATCCCGCTTCGGCCCTGGGATCGTCGGATAGCCTTCAGAGAATGTGCGGTAGCGCGGAAGTGCTTGGGCAACCCTCTCTTCGGCTCAGGTGCAGCAGCCCTCCACCCGACCCCTCATCTCAGGTGAGACTCTGAGACTGTGGCTGTAGAAACCATAGAGACTGCAGAGTCACAATTGCTACTTCTCTTGCTTGAAAAGGATCATGAATCCCCACATCGACTTGGAGATGTGCGAGCGGTTCTGGCCTGAAGACAACACGTCTATCAAAGTAACCCCTTTGTAACGGATGTTGCGGAGATGTCAACACAATGCAATCGCTTGTGAGGAATGCCATAATCTCGAGCGAGTCCTTGGATTTCCGTTTGCCGTCGACTTTCACAGGCTGCCTCACTTGCTGAAATTGCACATTCTGATTCTCTGTTCTGGATCTGTATGCTCCAGCTCAAATTGTTGCGGCACTGCTTGAGCAGAGAAAAAGGCCCATAGGTGTTGAAAAGGTTGGCTCGGGGGCTCGGGTCACTGTGGAAGCAGAGAGCACGCAGAGCACGCAGAGCACGAGAGCTGACGAGGAATCCTGAACCGCAGCATGGCTGGCACGAACTGCCACGCCATTGTGTTTGCCAAGGCCGGGGCATTTTATTGGTGAAGGGTTCACTTTGTGTGTCCTTATAGCCTAGTCGTAGCCCAGCCCCAGAGTGCACTTCACTGCTTCTCAGGTGCCTTCAGAGGTCTACCGACCTCGGAAGGCTATCCTCGCACCATACAAGGCACTGCCACGCCACCCACTGTAGCATGTCGAAATTGTAGAAGTTTCTGGTCGGACATGGCCCGAGATTCTCCAAGCCTCTCATCAGGAGGCTGTTCAACCCATCCTCTTCTGGCCGAAGGGAGGCGCGTCTTTGGATAGCTTGGCGAAAAGAGGGGATGGTGCCAAAGTTTGTTGCAAGGCGGCGGCCTCCCCGATGAAATGCAGCCACGGATGGGGTACAACATCATGGGTACCTTCAACAGGCAGTCTCTCTTCAAGTCTTTTGGGACAGCCCCCACCCAGAGAGAGAGAGAGAGAGAGCCTCATGGAAAAAGAACAGGTTCACGCACCCAAAACGTAAGAGCACAGCACGCAGTTGCCACGAAATGCGCACCAGCACGGCTCCAAAATGATCGACATCCGGCCAAGAATCCTAACCCGTCGGCTTCGGGGGTGGACAACATTGCAGCTCGGAGAAAGGGGTAGTTCAGAGCTCGTCAGAATCAGAGGCTGCCGAAGATCCATCCTTCTTGATCAACCGGGTTCAAAAGAGATCCAAATGGTTTCCCTTAAGAACGCCTCGTTGCGAGCCTTCCATGTCGCAAACAAGTGGTTTGCCAGTCCTGGCCTGGAGGACCAGAGCTTCCAGGCTTTAAGGCATGAAGCCCCTGCAATGACCCGAGGAGGCTCTGAAGCCACAGCAAGCAGCCAAGCAGCCAGCATTTGGATTTCGCGAAGCTGCCCTAGTGAGTCTTACAGACCGCCTGCTGACGGACTTTCCGCCACCAGAAGCCTGGAAATCCCAAGGTCCAAAAGCCTCGCGCCCTCACGAATCCCATCCCAGACGGTAACAGGAACACACCGTTGGTCGGCTAGGGGCGGCGCATGATCGACCGGTCTCATCGACTTACACCAGGTTGATCCAGGTTGCGTAGCAAAGCTGTCTGCGGTTCCCTTTAGCTTCCCGAGCCTTGTGGGAGGTGGCGGCCGCAGCCCATGGAGGTGGAAGCACCAGGTGTGTATGGGGCCACCATCATCCTCAGTGAGAACAGGAGGGGTGGGCAAATGCTGAGATGTGATGAGCACATGGGATGATATGCAAGACCTACGAGTCAGGTGGGAGCGCTTCCAAATTGCCCTGGATGGTGACAGCACGCGAGTGCTCCACCCGATGCTGCCTGAGGCGGGCCTTCGGATCTCTGGCAGACTGCTTGCTCTAGACGGCATGTGCCCCCTGTCAGGGTGACAAGTGCTGCCCAGTCGCTGGCCCCGAGGTGGGAGATCTGCATCAGACGGGTCTCAGCACAGGCTGTGAAGCGGCGGCACTCCTAACAGCAGGCTGCGCTTCAGATCCTCAGCTGGCACATCGATGGCCGCCCAAAGGACGCAGTGCAGGACGGGCCATGCGCTGTAAAACCGTTCCCGAGCCGTTCCCGGCTGCTCCCCTGCGGACCAAGCCTGAGACTTCAGGCTGAGGACATGCCAGACACGAGCCAGCAGAAGCAGCTCACCAGTGGCGCTTGGACGGCCTGTGGCTCATGTGGAGAGAAGAGGAGAGAGAGCAGGGGGAGCTGAAGGGAGAATCGACAGCACCCTGTTGCAGCTGGGAGGTTATTGTGCCTGATGAGATGCCCACCTTCGAAGACACGGTTGCCATGGCAGGGGATAGGCCTGCAGCCAGCAAACTTGCCCCTCCATGGAAAGCATGGGAAAGCGTTGGTCCATGTTGGTCCTGGGATGCCAGGTTCCGCGTCCGCCTGCATGTGCAAGGACGCTGGAGGATGGTAGACTGGGAGAAGTTGCCGAAGGACGGGCTGCGGCCTGCTTGTGAACTGACTTTCAAGACACATTGACCTTGAGCCAGGCCGAGGATGAAGACACACCTGCTGACCGAGCTTTCCGTGCAAGCTTGGAAGGACTCATCGGCACATATCAGGCTGGGCTTGAATGCTGAACGCCTAGTCGGGGAACGCGAGACCTCAAGCAGACATCGGACCATTGAGCCGCGGATGCGGGCCTCGCAGGTGGCCGGCAGCTGGAACATGTTTGATTGCCAGGCCGCCCTGCACGGCTGCGCGAGTCTTCGTCGGGTTGTCGCACTCAACCCTCTGGCCCACATACCAGATCACTGACACATCCCGCATCCACCCATATCCACCCGCAGTCTTGAGTTATCAGTGAGTTTTCTTTCCTCTCGGGCGGATGCGGCGCCTTCGCAGCTGGCTTCCGCGCCTGGGGCGGCGATGCTGCCATGGCTTTGAGGCTGTGAACGCTCCCCACAGCACGGGGGGAGAAGAACTCCTATCATAAAAGAAGGTCAAGAAAACCTACAGCAGCAACAAAGACTAGAGTGTGACTACATGCGAGAGGTGCTACGCCTGGAGCCAGCCGGACAAGGCAACGAGCGCTTAGGAGGCCAGCTGCGGGTGCTCATTGACTCATGCTCTTCATGCCCTTTTGCATGCTCTTCATGCACTTGCGTTGTCTTCTGTTTGTGCTTGCCATCTGTTCCTTCTCCCTCTCGTTGCCAACAAGATCCGAACTCTTTCAACTTTTGATTCGCTGGGGTGCTCTCATCTCCCCATGGTGGAGGAATGGCGCTGGGCCTTGGCCTCACTTGCGCGCTGTTGCCAAGTGCCCCCCGCGCGACCAGGTCTAGGGGTCCCTCGTGAGGGCTTGTAGGGAGACTTGTTTGTATGCACGGGTATGATATGACATGTTATGATGTGACTCGATGTGGATTTGTATTGAAGAGGCTGCGCCCGGAAGCCCCGAAAAACTGAAATCTGAGCCTAAGAGCCCCTGCGAGCATCACGCGCATCATGAGATTTTTGTGGCGAGCGGATTCCATGCTGGGTCCATCTTGCCGGGGGGGGGGGGGGGCAGGTCCATAGTCGAGGGAGGTCCCATAGTGGGTTGCATAGGGGGTCTCACAAGCCTTCAGAAAGTCGTTTAGACTGGGTAAGGGCCTTTTGTTGTTCAGAGCGGAGATGAAATCCCGTTTGTTCCCACATATAGCCATGTCCAGATATGGTTGCAGCGTTCATTCCCTGCTTGGAATGTATGGGGGTCTGGTATTCCTGGACAAGGTCGTTGTAGCTGCATGCCCGGCGGACGTCTCGAAGGTACTAACATTTGTTCACACAGCCGCCGGAGTTCTCGTTTCTTTGGGCGTTAGCATACGTAACAGACATACATATACATGTACATATACATGTACATGTACATATGCATATACATATACATATACATATATATATATATTATGATTATTATTGTTAATATTGATATTATCATTATTACTGTTATGATGATGATGATGATGATGATGATTATTATGTTTCTGAAGCACCCGGTCAGAGTGACGGATCAAAGCCCGGCTTGAACCACGTACATCATGCCTGCTTGCGCAAGGTACTCAGAGATCTGATGGGGTGCATTCGGGTCAGCCAGCATCCGCCTGAAGTGCCGGTGTTCTTGACTGCTTTGAGAGCTTACGCCCTGCGAGTTTGAAATGTTAGTCCATGAGGCTTTCCCAAGCAAGTTCCCGGTAAAGTTCTGCACCGCATCTTCGACAACTCGTTGTGAGGAATGTGCAAGCACAAGGCCATCATGGCTGATGTACTTGCTTAGTGGCCGTCTGTGATGTCGAACCAAGTGCTTTGCCAATGCTGGGCAGGCACCTTCCTTCCCTAGCACGGGTCCTTCCCTGTGGCCTGGCTGTGCTGGACCAGATTGCCTGGTGGGACGCTGCGGGTGAGGTGCCCTACACGTCGAAGTTGCTCGGTGCGAATCTTTGTGGAGAGTAGTCATGCGGGCGGACGTCGTGGTTGAGTTTTTGTAAGGCTCCGTGCCTTGCTCGAATCGGGCGGCGCGAGTTTCTATGACGATGACAAGCACAACTTCCTGAAATCACCGATGGTTTCGTTGGTGGCTGTAGGACTTTTCAGAGCCGGGGAAGCCGGGTTGGCTGCTTACAATGATTGTAACCCGGAGGAGGCATTCCAGTGCGGCCCACACCAACTGACGCATTAGAGCTGCTGTATGGAGATGTGGCCGTGCCCGTGCCTCTCGAAAGCATTCGAATCTCAGCGCTGTTTTACAGGGGTCACGGAATTGACGGTTCTGCGTTGGTAAACTGGAAGGGTTAGCAGCATCCTTGACAGTGACGTGATTTGACGGCATGAAGTGGGAGGAATTCTTGGTAGTACTCGTCGGCTAACAAGAATTGTACCTGTTAGTCTTCCACAGTTCTTGCGGTCCTTATGCGCAATGCTGATCCATCAAGCGGCTATTGTTTCCCTATTCTGAGGCAAGGCTTTGCGAAACCAGATGGGCATGACAGCCATGTTCTCCTACCTCAACCGCAGGGCTGTGCCGGCTGAGGAGATGTGGGATGTTGTCTCTGCGCTCAACTTCAGGGGTTTTGTTTTTCTTTTAACCCAGCAGTGCAATGCGGTAGCTGATACGAAACTAAAACGTGCTGAATTGCAAGTCTATGAATTATTGCGAACTCCTAAACCCTTACTCCGTGCACTCGGTGCCAAGGTTTCTGGTCTCGGACATTTCTCGGTCGGCCGCGCAGCTGCAACAAAGTTTCGGGCATGGGAATCGCAACGATGGTTTCTTTGGAGCAAGTGATGAAAGTTTCGTGCTCGAGGTTCCCAGATTTGGTTCATGCTTTCGAGACGAGGTCATACCGCCCACCTGTCCTTTGTCCTCGTCGGACACAGCTGTGGAGTGGAGAATGTGGCTCGACAGACCGACCGTCTGGGTTTAGGGTTTAGGGGTCTTTTGAGTGTGTTGTATGGTTTGACATCCTAGGAAATCAACAGCCAGCGGGATGTTGTGCATCTGGGCCGCTTGACAGTGGCCAGGACTAGATCGCAGAGACCCGGCACTGTGGAATGTGAGGGTTTCATTGGCACATGCTCGCATACCAGTCGAATGCGTTCGGCTAGTCGCTGTGTGTTGCATGATAGTAGATGGCATGCTTAGGGCCACCCTTGCCAATGCTTTTGGGCCTACTTGTAGATGCCAGGCCGTTTTCCACGCAATCGGGCCAAGCTGTCCCAGCAGCATGCTGTGTTGGCCAAACCCTAACGCCTAAAGCTCCGGGTGCCGAGGAAGGATCCTCCGCTGGTGGTGCAGCTTCCGCAGCTGTTGCCAGTGCGTGGCTCCAAGTTTGGGAAGACCGCGAAAATCACACAGGGGAGGCGCCCGTTCTTCCTCGAGCGGCACCCTGTTGAAGGTACAAAGATATCCGAGAGAAGGTGGAGGCGGGTCTGGGCTTGGATTGGGGGGCCCTTCAAGAAGTGCAATCGGTGCCACGAGCGATGAAGTGACCAGGCTTCCATCCTCTCTCAAGTGGATGGGCGGCCAAAGGGTACATCGATTTCTATCCAAGATTGGCAGGAAGCTTTGCGACCTGGCTTGAGGAGGGACATTCTCGGCATGAGGGCTAAAACATGTTCCCACAAGTGTGCCACCGCAGCCACATACTTTGTAGGTTAAGCTTTGCAGCCTTCTGTAGTGTCAAAATTCTCGCTCAGCTCTGTTCTCTGATGCTCCGAGGTACTTGGGCTGGCCATCGGCGAAGGCAAAGACGATGATTGCAGAATGTGGCAGAGATCCACAGCAGAGTGTGATGTGCTAGGACTGCTAGGATATGCCTAGGGCCACTGCGCAAATCATGCTAGCAGCATGAGGTTCCAGGAAGGCCACCTGCAACAGGCGCACGTCGCCGTTCTGACGGGCAGTCTTCGCAACCTTCAGAAGCTTGTGGGCAGCATCGATGACGAGGGGATGCCCGGTGCAGAAGATGGGGCTGGAAAAAACGCAAGGGTAGTCTGTTGAGAGTGGATGAGAACAGCGTTAATCATGTTAATCCTTACTCAGCCTTACTCTTGTGTTTCAGGCCTCCAGGGGCCGGCCCTTCTGCTCCAAGCTCGAGCCAGAACTCTGTTCAACGTACGTAAAAAGGGCTACCCCGCCATGCACTCGACACGCAAGGGCGCATGAGGCAGATCGCGCGTGCGCCGGTGCAGAGTGTTCGAACTGTGAGGACAGGGGCGCGCGCGCGCGCGAGCGATCGCACGCTCCAGACAAGTACATCTTCAGCATCATCAGCTGTCTTCTGGGCTTCGGGGGCTTGGCCACATCATCAGCATATTGCAGCCGGGCCAAGACATGTATTCGTAAACCCAGACATGCTAACCTAAATGCCGAGCTTCCTGTCCCTTGGGCAGCGTAAGCCCGAAAAAGCAAATACCTTGCCTGTCTCTGACCTGATGGGGCTGCCAAGGCAAGGAAGTGGCGGGGGCTTGGGTAAAGAGAACGAGAAGGGGGGAGAGGCGTCAAAACGCGTGCGACAGGGTAGAGGCAGCCTTTGAGCAGGGATAGCTTCACTGTATTTGGATGTTGTTTTGAAAGCTGAAAACAAGCCCCGTTCTCGGGGGGGTTGGCCAATATTGCAAAAAAGTCCAGTTCCTATCATCACATTGTATTGTAAACACAGTGCAGACAGAATGGCCGAGGAAGGAGGCAGAGTACCGCGCCCTGCTGTGGCAAATTGCTGTGGCGTGCAGAGCTCGGCTGGAGTGCTACGCAGGCTTCGTAGGTTTGGTTCGGGTTTCAGAGTCAGATCCTTAAAACTTCAGGTGCCACCTCCTACTGCCAGACATGTTTCCAGATCCCATGGTGTGCCTCGGTGGCGCATGGAGAAGAGATATCCCCCGCAATTCCAGCTGGTTTGCCGGTCGGCCTCAGGAAATTCAAATGGCGGCCGCCTGAGCACATGATGCCGGCCCATCTGCAGGAGCATCTGAGAAGCGCATAGCAGCATGTTCCCCGGACCATGGGCACTGGTCAGTGCATGCTGCAAAAAGGTGCGGGAAACTGCCGTCACATCGAGTGCACGAGTAGATGCACATTGCATCTAAGCCTGATGTGTTCAAGATTTTCCCTGGCTTGTTGGGAAAGGCGATGAAGCCAGACCCCGCTCAGAGGCACCTGCACCGAGTGGAGGCCGGGTGGGAGCGCACTGGGAGCGTACTGGGAGTGTACTGGGAGTGTATTTGGAGTACACTGTGTGTACTGAGTAGGGGGCACGCGCGGCTTTTCTGGCACCATGAGTTTTGGAGTTTAGGATACTCTCCGGAGGTCACGATCCCTGTAAATGGCGATCATCAGTTCCACATCCTCCGGAACGAAGACCGGAGCCAGGCGCGGCCTCTCTGGAGGGGGCTTTAGGGAGTTTTGCTGTGCATGAACAAAGCAGCTAAGTACAGCCTACGAGTGTTTGTGTGCCTTAAGTCCTTGAATGTCATTGAGTCATGAAGGTCATAGGGCCAGAGTCCCTCATCTCTCGAGTTGGTGGTCGAGCCCTGCTGCGCCTGTGTCTCGGAGACCGGAGCCTTGAACGGGCAGAGATGTGTAAAAAGTCGCCAAAAGCGGCATCAGCAGCACAGAGTAGTTTTGTCCGAATATGGCCAAAGGTGCATGGGACCAGCGCAGCAAACTCCACTCCTGGCATCTCCGGCGAGTGAGGGTAGATGCAGCACCTGGTTTCTCATTCGGTGCCAGTGACAAGCCCCGCTGAGTCCCAACTCTTCTGAAGCCAATGCGTCGTACACGCTAATTATGAGTGAAGGCGATTCTTCCATGTCTGCCTGAGGTGTGCAACCCCCAAAGTCTCAACTTGCAAACATCCCCAAGCGGGGTTCGGAATTATGAGGCCTGCAAAACTGTGACTTCCAAACGTGGCTAAGAGGTCAAGATTGGCGCGGGGTGTCGGGAACATGGGGCATGATTGACAGTGTACCGGACCCCCTTCTTTGCCAGGGCATTCCGTGCTTCTGCTGGTGATGTTTTCAGGATAGAGCCTGGGGCAAAGGATGTCAAAGAGTCCTTGTCCTCTGTGGTTCATGGGGAGTCTGCGACGTGATGCTGTGTGCCGCGAAGGTTTGAACGGCAGGCCGAAGCTGGAGAGGACAAGATGAAGGCGTGCACGTCGCCCGAGCTCGCACTCAAGAGAGCAGTTCTTCCGCAGCCCCCCCCGATTTGCAAGGTGAACTGGGAGTGCACCAGCACTAATGCCACCGTGCCAGAGGACTTTCGGGTCCCAATGGCTTGCAAGCCACACCAATCACAAGATGTCACGAGATTGTCGGTATGTGCAAGGTCTACGGGTCAATGGTTGGCTTTGCTGATCAGGATTTGGCACTGCTCCACGTGCGGCGGAAGTACATGGTCTGGACCTCGGTTGACCTCAAGCACGTGCTCGTACCATGTTTAGAAATCGTGTTCTATGACACGACAACACTGTTCCATGACAAGACAATACTGTTCCATGACGCCGCTGCTTTGTTCCATGACACAGTTTTTTGGGTACCATGTGTAGTTCAGTGTACTGTCGTTATAGTTTAGTGATTTAGTGTAGTGACAGTTTCGTGTCCTCAAGTTCTACTTCAGCGTCCTCTAGTTCTGCTTCAGTGTCCTCTAGTTCTACTTCAGTGTCCTCTAGTTCCGGGACGAAACCGCTTCATTTCGACACTTGCTGCTTGGTGCTGTGCCTGGAGTCAGCAAAAGCGCCATGGCTCGCTACTCGTGCCGGCTCCCTTGTTCCGGTTCCTGCTTTACCTGCAGGCCTGCTCTTCCCATTCCGAGTGGAGATTCGTGCTAGAAACTGGAAGCATACCATGCACCACTGTACTCGGAGGCCAGCGTGACGATGTCTGGTCGTTTGGAGTGCAATTCTCCAGTCGTTCCTTTGTTAGGCCGGCCCCTTGTTTGGCATGTCTCGTTCTTTCTTTTTTGCCTGTGTTGCAAGAGCTTCTGAAGGACTGCAAGAGCAGACAGAGGATGCTGGAGAGGAAACAGAAGATGCTGGAGAACAGCTGGTAAGGGCTTCTGGGGCTTCTGGAGAAGGAGACCAATTGGCACTGGAAGTGTGCAGTGCAGCCCTGGCTCGTTTGTGGCTTGCATGTGCAGTGCAGCCCTGGCTCGTTTGTGTTGTGAATGCCTAGGGGCACGCGCGGGGAAAGCCCTGTCCAGGTTAGCCAGCTTCGTGCGATGCTGGTTGAGCGAGACCTTGATGACTCCGGCAACAAGGCATGTCGTTTCCGTGTACACAAATTGCCTAGCGGTTCTTTGATGACAGTCCCTGTGAGGCAACCTTGCTGCGTCGCCTTCGTGCTGCTGCTGGGAGTGCGAAAACGTTCACATGTTCGAAGTGCTCTCGGGTCGTTACGGAGATGCCGTGTGGAGACCGAAAGGAATGTTCAAGTTGTCGAACTCTCATGAAGCAGCTCGTGGCCCACGATGTAGCGGTCCAAGCACTGGGTGTAGACTCTGCGACTTTGCAGGGTTTTTTCGCGGCTGTTGCAGCTGCTCGCACTGGTGCGGCGATGCACTGGAGCGATGTGCGAGAAATGTTGTTGACGTCCTTGTCCTCATACCACGAGCTCAGCCATCGCAAAGTTTGTGAGGTCCTGGAGCGGCCGCTCCAGTTTTGGACTAACAATGGTTATGATGAAAATCATATCAAGCTGCACTGCCCAGCTGTGAACGATCCGATGATGGGGCGGCTGTATCGCGGTCAGCTTCGCAGCGAAAAGGAGGTGGACTATCGCAGATTGTCACTGGACCTGCTGTCCAAAATTATGGAGGATACCAGGAAGCGCAAGGAGCCCATGTCTCTGTCCATTCTTGGCCGGTTGTCGGGACTGTGCTTGTTGTTGCAATTGCTTGTTTTGGCAGGACCTTCGGAAAGCCAGCTCGCAAAGGGCCAAAAGGCAGAAGGCCATCGTGCAGGCCTCAAACTGTTCTGTTTCCTACTTTCGAGTCCTGCTGTTCTGTTTCCAACTTTCGAGTCCAACAGTGGGGGATTCTAATGTTCAGATTTCCGGTGCATATTCGGATCTTTGGCGTGATGCATGGCATTGCAGGAGCAGCCCGACTCCTCTGCCGACGTTGATACGTTAACGGTGCCAGCGTTGAAAGATAAACTACGAAGCCGCGGATTGCAGACCACGGGAAAGAAGGCCATGATTCATGGCCCACGAAAACCTGCACATTGAAAGGGCCCACCCCATGGCTGTGCCACATTGCCAGGCTGATCTGCTGGCTCGCTTGAAGCAAGCGCTCAGCGAAGAAGGTGTTGCTCCACCAAGTGACTGTGCGGGGGCCTGTGTTTGGATGGGGGCCGTGTTCTGCATCGCTATCCTTGCATGACCATCTCTTGAGCAATCTTGCTCAGGCTCAGCCCCCTCTCGCTTGGCCGTCAGACCTGGGCGATGTCGAGCAGCGCAAGAAGATGCTGCTGCAAAGGTGTGCTGACAGGCTCCCCTTCATGTTTCAGGAACGTTTTGCTGTGGATGTGTGGCTTTCTGGACTTCGTGACAGCAAGAATAGTGAGCTGCTCAGGTGCAAGTTTGTCTGTTTCGGGCACGAGAATGCAGGAGTGACATGTTACTTGCAGGCCAGATGCTGTGACTGCTACGCTCACATATACACGGACAAGGTTTTCCTTTCTTTTTGCCTTCCGCTTGAACAGGCAACGTTGACTATCCTGGCTGTGCACAAGGCGAGAGAGAGCCTGCCCCTGCAGCATGAGTTAGATCACAGCCTGTTTGAGGAGCTTCTGAGCGGACATGCTGTCGACGAGACGCTGCACAAGGACTCTGTTCGGAGGCCGCGCTCAGGCTCCTCCCCCAAGGCTTGCTCGCCTGTTGGCAGGAGATTTCTCATATCATTGAAATGTCTCGAACCCGAGTGGTGGACCGCCTTCTCATGGCTGCTTGGCCATGATGGTCTACCTCTTTTTTTTGGTCTCTTTCGCTTTCTCAAGCCACAAGCGACTCGTGATTTCACTCCAGGTGCAGCTAGAGCAGTACTTGGCCAATTTTGATCTGGTGTCCCGTGGCCTGCAGGCGGCCTATGCTGACACGCGGGCAAGTCTCAAGCGAAACCACACAGGATGATGTACAGAACCGTCTCTCGGGGTGATGATGGTCGCGGGGGTCCGAACCAAATGACTTACTGTAGCGCAGTCTCCGTGCTTGGCTCTGTGCCTCAACCCCGAACCCTGCAACCTCAACCCGCAGGGTTCTGCGTTTTTGGCAGCCTATGGCAGGAGGATGCCGTTCGCATTTTGGAGGAGATTTTGCCATTGTGCTTGGTCTGATGTCTTGGCACAACACTCTGCTCTCGAGATCTAGTTGGTGCTGTCCTTCCCAAGCTTCATTTGTCGAGACCCTAACTGAGGTGCGGCGGGCTCGAGCTGACTGTCAACATGGTGACCTGTGCCAGAGCCGAGGCGTTCCAGTCGCTCAAGCTGGATGCTCTGCGGCAGCACCCATAACCATTCCATTTGTGGTTGAGGAAACACGGGGGTCTGGGTTTGCTGCTTTACAGCTTCATTCTGGCGTGCTTGTTCTGCTGCCAAGCCCAGGATTCGCGAGTTTCCATCCCTCCTTCCGAGCCACTATACATTCTTCGCATACCGCTGTCCGATCTTGAACTTAAACACGCCAATGCATGCCGAGGGCTTCTTGTGGCTTCTTCTAACTTCTTGTTTCTTTCGTTGCTTGCAAGGAAATTGCCGGCCGCAAGGAAAGGAACCTGCAACTCATGCTGCAGGACGCGATATTTGCAGAGGCGCATGCCTCTTTGTGCCATTCTTGCTCTGTGGGGCCTTTGACTTCCTTTTCACAAGTGCAGAATTGCTTTGTGCAAATCACCAATGGAGAGACAAGGTGCAGAATTGCTTTGTGCAAATGACCAATGGTGATACCGCTCGATTCACAGCAACGAGAGCGCTCAAGCGTAGCCATGGCAAGCCCCTTGCTTGCACTTTTTCAAGGCACACTCCGGCGCTGCGTGTGATCCATTGTGACACCCAGGGTGGCGCCGCTTACGCTGCCTCTATGCGTGCAACGATGGCGTGCAGCGGACAAGTCCGCAGCGGCTAGCTCCAAGAATGCGGCCTCCATCACTGTTCCTTTCCAGGTTCACGCCTTGGTTGTCCGTGTGCCTTCACCTTCAATCCCGAATTTTCATCCTAAACTCTGAACCCTGAAGTTTAAGAACTAATGAGCGTCAAGCCTGCAGGGGAACCCAAGTAGGGTTGGACGGTTTCGAGGTTTACGATTTAGGGTCCGACTATTCCTACTTGTGCTGAGGGATTGCAACTGCCTCTACTACCGCCGTGCCACTCCGACCTGCGCCTTGAAGATGTGGAGCGCTTCGGCTTTCCATTTCTCGTGTCCCTATGCCAGCATATAGTCCCGTGCAGTCATCTTACTGTGCAGCTGAGGTTGTGGGAGTACGATCTGCGCTCTTTCCTTGTGCATGAGGCGCGACCAATGTTTTTCGCAGGCTCTTGACCGTTCATTTCGACGTGTTGTCAGGGCACGCTGGATGGCGGTCACTTTACTGCCTATTACAAAGCCGATAGATGGTACATGGTCGACAACAGTTGGTGCACGGGCTTCTCGGCCGCGGCACCTGCCTAGCATTGGTTTAAGCGATGGCACTGGCCGATGATATTCTCCATGCCACTATTTTTTTGCCTGCTGCAGCTCTCACCGACGAGAAGGCTGTCAGCGCGGCCAGTGTTGCATATCTGCTTCTTGGCGTGCGATTCCCAGGTTCTTGGTAGTGGCTCTTTCATGCTTGCCCTGCATGCCGAGGCTCGTGTATGAATTGAATGCTTATGCGGGCATGACCAGTGGCGAGTCGCTTTGTCGGACAACAGGCCGGCAACCAACAGTCATTCAAGCTGCCATGCTTTGAGGCTCTTTGATTTTACTTTGCAGGATCTGCCGAAAACACCTTTCCACCTACTCTTGTTCCTTGGCGTTTTGGGTCCCATTTCCAACCTGTTTCTGACAATCTTTATCTCTTCAGGATTACGCCGCACCGTCGCACGGGGGTCTCAGCTTCGAAGATGTCCAGGAGGCCATGGCCCACATGCAGATGTAGCTGCCAAGCATGAAAAACGTTCTTGCCAGGCCCAGCAATTCGTACGTGGCCTCCGAGGCCGCGTGCCACTTATCGACTTGGAAACTGAGGAGGCCAGAGCGTGGGATGCTGGCCTCCGCAGGCAAACCCTAAAGGGGAAGAGGGGTTTTTCAGCCTTTGGGCTTCGGTTGAGGATCAAGGGTTTAGGGTTCAGACTTTAGGGTTTCCTTGACACTTTGCCCTGAAGCATGGTCCCTGAAGATTCGAGGGCTGAAGGCTGCATAGGAGCTTCAATTTTTGAGGCAAGGTGACGACAAGAAGGAAAGGGTCTTGGGTTTATTGTTTGGGAGCCCACCTGGGAGCCCACCTTCAACCCCCCAACCCCAAACCCTAGACCCCAGACCCTGAACGCCAGGCAGATCGACTCCCCGCACCCTCACTTACCCTAAACCTTAAAACCCTCAAGACCAACCCTAAACCCTAAACCCTAAACCTTAAAACCCTCAAACACAGACAAATCGACGATGTGGACCCTTAAACGCTGGCACCCTGAACCTTACCCTCCAGGCACCCTCGCACGCCCTCCGCGCACCCTCCCGCACACCCTCCCACGCACCCTCCCGCGCACCCTCCCGCACACCCTCCCGCACACCCTCCGCGCACCCTCCGCGCACCCTCCGCGCACCCTCCGCGCACCCTCCGCGCACCCTCCGCACCCTCCCGCGCACCCTCGCGCGCACCCTCCCCCACACCCTCCCGCGCACCCTCCCGCGCACCCTCCCGCGCACCCTCGTGCACCCTCCCGCGCACCCTCCGCACACCCTCCGCGCACCCTCCGCACACCCTCCGCGCACCCCCGCGCGCCCTCCGCGCACCCTCCCACACACCCTCCCGCGCACCCTCCCGCGCACCCTCCGCGCACCCTCCGCGCACCCTCCGCGCACCCACCCTCCCCGCACCCTCCGCGCACCCTCCTGCGCACCCTCCCGCGCACCCTCCCACACACCCTCCGCGCACCCTCCGCGCACCCTCCGCGCACCCCTCGCGCGCACCCTCCCGCGCACCCTCCCGCACACCCTCCCACACACCCTCCCGCGCACCCTCCCACACACCCTCCCACACACCCTCCGCGCACCCTCCCGCGCACCCTCCGCGCACCCTCCGCGCACCCTCCGCGCACCCTCCGCGCACCCCCTGCGCACCCCCTGCACACCCCCCGCGCACCATCTGCGCACCATTTTCTGGCTTGCTTCAAATTCAGTGGTGGGACAAAGTATATGTATACATAGAGGGAAGAATAGGAAAGACAAAGTTGGTCTAGGGCTTAGGGCCTTCGAAGAACGATATGGTTACTGTAGGAATAAGGACTTACGGGAACGAAGCTGGCCGAACATCTTTTTTTCGCGAACCTCCGCCTCCGCTTTAGACCAAGATGGACGTGGCTTAAGACAGGCTGGAACAGGCATTGGCAACGCCCTACGTGGCTGAAACCCCGATACAACCTAATTGACGGGAGGATCTTGGTCTCCTAGTTTTTCCCAGCAGCTTCAGGTTTTCACCATTGCTCCGGTAAACTGGGTGCGATCGCTGCAAACAGCTTTGTTCATGGAGAATTAAGCTATGTTTTCCACAGCAAGGACGTTTTTGCCCTCTCTGTGAAAAAGCACCTGGTGTGTAGCGTCCTCCGACTGGTCTACTGGTGTGTAGGGCTTGGTTAGCTGTGTAGCCCTTAGGTTTTCTACGTTTTTAGGGTTCGGGAATAGTTCATATTATTTTCGCAGCTGCCTCAAGTTTTCGACTGTGCTCCGGTAGATTGGGTGCGATCGCTGCTGTCAGCTTTGTTCATGGAGAATGAAGCTATGTTTTCCACAGCAGAGACGTGTCTGCCCGCTCTGTGAGCAGCTTCTAACAGCTGGTTTTTTAAAGTTTCACTTTCCGGGTTGAGGTCTTCAGCGTTTAGGGTTTAGAGTTAAATGTCAGGTATGCCAGGGCCCTGAGCCACCAGCTGTTTCAGGATCTGCGGTTTGCACTATAGTCCTGTTTCGTGAAGGCTTGCTTCAAATTCAGTGGTGGGACAAAGTATATGTATACAGAGAGGGAAGAATAGGAAAGACAAAGTTGGTCTAGGGCTTAGGGCCTTTCGAAGAACGATATGGTTACTGTAGGAATAAGGACTTACGGGAACGAAGCTGGCCGAACATCTTTTTTTCGCGAACCTCCGCCTCCGCTTTAGACCAATAGACCAAGATGGACGTGGCTTAAAACAGGCTGGAACAGGCATTGGCGAAGCCCTACCTGGCTGAAACCCCGATACAACCTCATTGACGGGGGGATCTTGGTCTCCTGAGTTCCAAACCCAAACCCAAACCGCAGCTGCATTCTAGGGTTAGGGTTGAGGCTTGTAGGGTTGAGGGTGGAGGTTTCCAGGTCATGGGTTGAATGTCTAGGGCTTTATAATGGGTTGAGAGTTGCGACTGAGGAGTCAATAGGCTGGGAGTTCCTCGCAAAAGGCCCCCCAACTCCCAACCCCTAAACCCCTAAATCCGGTAAGGTGACCCCAGGGCCTTAACCCAAACAAAACCCTAAACCCTAAACCCTAAACCCCCAGAGCCAGTCTTTGAAACCCCAAGCCCCTCAGGAAATGCTTTGAGTAACGATACAAAAAGGGGACGTGGAGTTTAGGGTTTTGGGTTCTTGGGCACAAGAAAGGGCAGGATGAACATATCCCAAGATGAACCCAGAGAATAATTGCCCCACCTGCGGAAACCATAAGCTCTATAACGGTTTAGTGCTTAAAGTTGCACGACTGCGCCCTAATCCTGTATTCCTGGTAGCCCAGGTAAGGGCTAAAGTTGTCAGTCTTTGGGGTTTCTTTGTTTCTCGGATTTCGGGTACTCGACAGCCTATCGTCCCAGCCCAAACAGAGCCTGAATAGCAGCCACTATCATCCCAATACGAACACTGCTCAAAATGCCGAAATTCAGCACGCAGGTGAGAAGCTCGGAGAACGGAGCGAAAGTGATCTTGGTGCGAATCGGAAATTAGCCCAGACAGCACACTCTGGCGAGAGCTGTCAAAAAGTTAAGAAGGCGTAAGTTTGCAGTTGATTTGACGTGGTACCTCGATTTTCGAGGCGGGGTTCATAAATTGCCGTTTCAGGGTTCCAAACCCACTCTTGTTTCATGGTTCGCACGCGTTCTCGTTGACCTCTGTCTCACTTTCTCGCTTTGCCGCTAGTTGCTTTTAATTTCCAGCACGGCTGAGGTGCGACTTTGCTTCGACAGCTGGAGTGACCATTCCTACAAGATGGCATGGCAAGGCAGGGCTTCTCAGGGTTGGGAGCAGCGTGAGGTCATCGGGACACTCGGAACGAATTTTCAAACGTGTCATGCAAGCAAGCACACGCTTCAGCATGTTGCAGGAACGTACTTCCACTTGTTCGTAGAGCTCAATGACCTAGCGAAGGCACAGAGCGGCTGAGAACTTGTTTTCCGCATGCCTCTGCACCAGTGGGCCGTAGTTTTACATCATGGGAACAGGTCAGCTTTGTAATCTACGAGGACTGAGCCACCTTCGCTGCCTGCACGGCCTGCATGATCTGCATGGTTGCATGGTGCATGGTGTCAAAATGAAAAGTTTCTGTATCACGCTTGCCACTCTTGCTGACCGTGTTGAAGTCCCACGACGTTGCTGTTAGCAGCCTAGACAACGCCAAGGTTGAGTGCAATGAGGCAGTGTGCATGATATTCGCCTTCAGCCCTTTCTTGATTGACCCCGAGGACGGCCAAACATCCAGATGCCTCTTCCCTTCCGTGAAGGATGCTGTGCCCTTAGAGTGCATCTCGTGCGTTGAGATCAGCAGGAGCAGTGGCATTCGGCTGCGAGCGGAAATCTCAAGCAATGTAGCCCAACTGTTGTCTGCGGACTGGGGATCTATTCCGAGAGGACAAAGTGCCTTTTTGTTCTCACGCCGCTCAACAAAGCCCTGTCTTTGTCAGTACACGAGTTCTCGCTAGCAGTGGTCTGAAGCAGTTGGTCTGGCGTTTCCTGAACTGTTGGCGAGTTTTGGTAGAGTCTGCGAGGCCAATCCATACGAGGGCCACGAGCTCCAGGGCCCAGGGCCAGCGACCGACGGCCTGGGACCCAGCTGTGGGAGTTCGGGGGGTGGGCTGCCTGCCTCGCTTGGGGACTACAGGAAATACAGCTCTAGCACTCTAAGATTTCCCGCTCCCTGGCACTCATGGCATTCAGTCCTCAGAGGCTGACCACTGCCTTAGAGTGCTTGGCACCGGATGTTTTCCCGAGTGCTGCAGGTCTCTTCTGGACGATCGGTGTGGGACCAATTGCTTGCACTTGATCTGTGGCGAGCTTCTGGCTGGTGAAGCATAGAAGTGGAACATGTATAAACAAAAGTCTTCGTACTGTGTCCCAGAGCTTGCACAGTCGAAACATGCGGACAGCCTGTGACATCCGTCATCCCCAGTCTTTCGGAGATCCCAGGTGCCCATGACAAGGATAAGGCCAGTGTCGGAAATCGCTACGAGCTGCGCCTTCACCTGGAGGCTGGAGTGGCGACTTGTTGGTTTTAACGTGCAGGGTATAAGAGGGGTTCGATCGGCGTCACCGCCCGGCCGCTCCCGCAGCGGTGTGCCCGCTTGCAGACCATGGCTTGTTCTCGCCGTTCTCGAGGCCAGCTCGCATTTTGGACGAAACTTGCGCTCGCCTAGGCGTGTGCGTGGACGCTGTCATCGCTCTTGGACCATGCTTTTGGACATCTGGGCTCGCGACATGCGAAGCCATGAACTGCGAAGCTGTAATCGCCTATTCAGTTCCTTGCTTATCTCATGCTGCGTCTGCCTGTCGGCTGCAAGTCGCAGCCGACCGAGGGGCAAAGGTCCGGTGCAAAGCCGCAGCGGCCATCTAGAGAATCTAGGGTAAATGGCCTGCCACGATCCGAGTCCACGTGGTCCAGTAAAGGGCAGGGCATGGCAATCGGCACAGGAGATTGGAGAACTAGAACAACAGCCGCGCCTGCAATTGGTGTGCGTCGTTTAGTGCGTGGCACCGACTCGCCAAGTTTTGTTGGGGAGTGACCGCGACACCCACAAAGGGGCAGGAGGTGAAATTATTCAAAAAATCAAGATCTAATGGAAGGTTTTGGGTAGGCTTTTTGGGCAGGCTTATTTGGTAGGATTATGGAGACTCCTGCCAACCAGTGTGCACTTGTGGAGAGCTTGTGGCCATCACCTTCCATTGATTGTGGATGATGGCAACTTCAAGAGTCCAACTTACCAAAATCTGACATGCTGGTACTGAAGCTCGTGTGACAGGGCAATGTGCCGATGTCCGTCGACTGGGCCCTGCTGAAGTCGACAAAAGGTCTCGAGGACTGACGTCTTGAGATGGTCTGGAGAGACTGAATGCTAAACCCTACCTACCACAGACCGCGAACTCCAAAACCCGAAAGCGCCTGTGCCGCCAGTTCTCACATGGGGGATATGCACGCAATACTCGGAAAGCGCGCCTGCAATAGCCATTGCTCGTTTTCTGACATCTGGCTTTTGTATGCTTTGTTGGATTGCGCTTCCAAGATTTGGTTGTGCTGTTCTCAAAGCTGCTCTTTATGTTTCTTTTGTCGCTCTGCGATGTTCGCTGGTTGCTTAAAGCTTGGCCCAGAACCAACGGTCTTCCCTTGGAATTGCACTCGCAGTTCGTATAGTTCGTATAGTTCGTATAGTTCGTATAGTTCGTATATGGTTCGTATGCATCCTCAGAAGGGCCTACGAGAGATCGCGCTAGCTCATACGACGAATCTCCTTTTCGCCCTGCTGATAGCAATGTTTGCATGGCACGAGTCAGCACGAGAGGAGGTCGTCTGAAAATCTAGTTGGCCAGTTCTCTAAGTTATTGGTCCCCTTTGGTTACATCACGCTAAGGGGACGCAAGCCCAAGCCCGCGTGCTAACCACGTTGAGCAAGCATGCTGAAAGTTTGGCGCCTGCAGGATGCGGCCGCTAAGGGCAACTTTGTCGCGTGGCTGCCCGCAAGCGCTTAGCGCCCGAGTCCTCCCTGAGTCCCTGAGTCCTCTCAAAACGAGAAGGGCCATCTTCCAGCGAGTCGCAGTGGTTAAATCCGTTCAGTCGCCGTCGAGGCCATGGGGCGCAGGACTCTGCTACAGCTCACTGGGGTCAAGTTTCAGAACTGCCAGTGAATTGCCGCATTTCGATCCCCAAAGCCAGTGCTTTAAAGGGTCCAGCAGCCCAGAAGTTTGTGTTTCAGGTCTCCGCGCTGAGCGTGGAAAACGGGGCCTTTCTGCAAGTCGAGCCAGGTCGTGCCAGTGTTGCTACTGATTGCTTTTGATTCCGAGACAAGTGCTGCATGCAGCTGTGACGGCTCAGGGTGACTCAGGTCTAGCGTAGTCAGAAGGTTCTGCGAGAATAGCGTTCACAGCCTTCTCGCCACATCTTGCGCTTGCCACCGCCCAAAAAAAATCAACCGAAGGTAAACTTGAAACCAAGATGCTCAATACGTGTATGCTCCACATTGCTGCGCCGCCGGCCTGCGATGGCAGTTGCCGATGACGACTTCGAGTTTTTGACCGATGCGGACAGAGACTTCGTACGAACGCTCAGGCGGCGCTTTCATGACGAGTTTGCTGCCCGAGAGGCTGATGGCCGGGCGTATCGCTGCTTCTTTGGGCCGATTGCCCTGGCTCGTATCCTCCGGGCGGTGGATGGAGATGTGGAGAAGGCTTGCGAGTGGTTTCAGGCCCGCTGAACTCGTATGGCACTTGTATGACCCCTCGTACCTGCCTGTAGGAGCCAGGGTAACATCAGGTAACTTCAGTCTCTTCTTGCCCCAACCTGCGGAGCTGTGCTGAGATGTGCTGCCCTGAGTAGGCTTTTCTCCAAACCATCTCGGAGAAGGGTGTTGACGATCTGATACGAGACATGACCTCTCGCTTCGAAGCAGCTGGCTCCGAAGCCATTCGTGCCAGCATGCTCCCTCACTACGACGCCGTCAAGGACTTCTACCACGCGGAGCTCCAGGCACCGCACCTCTCATCCGACGGCGACATCGTCATGTACATCCCGTTGCTCGGTGTCCTTCTAGACTTCTATACCATTAGAAGATCCCAGAAGCTCCGACACTTCTCAGCAGAGTTCCTACGACCAGCTAAGGCTCATTGACCACGACAAGAATGGCATCATGGAGCACATGGACTGGGATCAATGGGTCACATACAGCAACGCAGTCTGATTATGGCCGACTTGGCGCCTGAAATGACCTGAACCTCCTCCCCAAGAATGCGGTGTTGTGAAAGATGTGAACGCTCTGCTTCTTTTCGCCGTCTCTCAAAAGGTTTCTTTCTTAAAAGCCCCTATCTCACACGTTGCGCTTTAGCCGCCTTTTGCCCGAAATGACTCTGAGGCAAGGCCAGCACGGTGCTTCAGTGCTTGGCGCTGGACTCCTTAAGCAGGTCCACCGGCCGCATTGCGCGAATCATCTTGCTGTTTGATGTGGAAGGCTGCTCTTTGGAGACAGTTGTGAATCGAACGTTCCTGCGCGCTCACCGCCGAGATGTCGTGGACAGCTTCCAACAGAAAATCGCAGCTGAGATAGTCGCCAAAGTCTATGTGATCAACCTGCCGTGGACGCTCGCAAACCTGTTCACGCTTTGTAAGACCTTCGTGCCAGCAAAGTTTCTGCAAAAAGTGAGGGTTATGAGTGGCGACTCCCTTCGAGATTCGTCCTTCGTAACGCATTGCGGAGGGCCTGAGCAGCTTGCTGGCCTGTATGATTCGCGGAAAGGTTTGGCAGCGAACAGCAGCCAGAAGGCACACAAGCAGCTGCACTCACTCGATCTCTGGCCTGAGAAGGATGAGTTGGAGCTTGTTGCAAAGCTGCGCACAAAATTCGCGGACGAGTTCGCGCAGCGCGCGCAGTCTGGACGTGATTGGCCTTGCATGTTTAGCGACTTGGCCTTGGCACGTGTCCTTCGCGGCAATGAAGGCTACTTCTCCGAATCTGTGAACTGGTTTCAAAACTTCCTTGAGAGGATGGCTGAGTGCCACGTTGACGATCTTGTGTCGAGCATGACTGCTAAGCTGGAGGAATCTGGTCAGGAACGCGGGTGCATGTCGATGCTTCCCCACGCCTCCGAGATAGAGAGGCACTTTCGCTGCGTCTTCTCGGCCCCAAGGCTCACACCCTCCGGGGATGTGATCTGGTGCCCGGCTTGAGCCAGTTTCAGAGCCTTCAGGGGGTCCTGTAAACTTGTAGGGACTTGTAGGGACTTTGTAGGGGACTTTGCAGGGACTTGTGAGGACTTCTAGGGGGCTTTCTGACTGCCTTGCCCAGGTATGTGCCGCTGGGGGACTTCAACCGAATGTCTTTGGTCGAGGAGTCTCTGCCAATCCTGTCATCGTTCGCATCATGTAGGTAGTCAAAATCCCAACAAGTAAAGACAAATGGAAATGAAGATGCATAAGTATAGCTCGGTACGAATAGATATAGAAAGTATGAACGCATGTCGCAAAATATGCAATCAACATCAAGACGTATGAGCGACACAAGTAAGAAGCAGACTTGTGGTGCTTTTGCAAGTTTTTTCAAAGCTTTTTTAGTCGCAAATGAAGCCAGTCCAGGTCCGAAGATCCAAGCCTCCCTGATCATTTACCCTAGCACTTCGGATTTTAGAATGTTGGATGTAGTATTGGAAAAGGAGATGGCCGGTAGCCATTTAATTTTAACGCTACGCGACCCGCCTCGGCCCGGCCCAGCGCATCCGCGTGAGCATGGTGATTCCGGAGCGCCCAAGTTGCTGGGCCCCAAGCAATAAGGGTTGGGTTTAGGGTTTAGGGTTTAGGGTTCCGGGTTTATGGTTTATGGTTTGGGGTTTAGGGTTGAGGGTTAGTTTAGGATTGAGGGCTTAGGGCTCAAGGTTCACGCTTTGGGGTTTAGGGTTTTTTGGGTGTGGGGTTCAAGAATCGTAGGGTGGAGCCAGCCCATCAGGGGTAGGGGGGGTGGGGGGGGAAGGGGGGGCAGGGGGAGGGTGGGAGGGGGGGGGGGGGGGGGGGGGGGGGGGGAGGGGAGAGGGGGGGGGGAAAAAGGGGGGTGGGGGGGTACCCATTTTTGGCAAAAAAAGGGCCCGAAAAGTGGCTTTGGGATTTGGAGGGGGGTGCCTGTTCTGACAACCTATACACCTTCGGCCCGAGGCCTCGGCGGACTGTGTCTGTATTACGTGTTTTTCTGTATTACGTATTTTGCTGCTTTTACACATCGCAGACAGCTACCCCCCCAATGCCCATTCTCATTCGCATACACATGTCTGGCGTTCGCAGGAGGTGGACTGGTCGCACTGGGTAGAGTTTTTACGTGCTATGGTGGTCCTACGTGCTGTGGAGGCTCAGAAACTCAGTGAGGCACAAGGACGCATGGCCACCTTGGTTGCAGAAGCAGAGTCTCTTTGGGTCTGGGCATATCGGGGATGCGTCACCCCCTTGGCTTTTCGTGCCTTTGAAGCTTTTGGCGCATCTTTGCACATCTCAGGCCAAGTGCATCATGATCCTTGACCTGCACGGCAGCGGTACCAACGCCACGGGCTTTCCCAAGGTTGAGGAGTTCGATGACCGAAACCAGGCCAACATGAAGTTTATGCGCCAGATCATCATCGAAGTCCTTGGCCCAGTGTATGTCCTCAATGCTCCATGGGTGGCCGTGAAGGCCTTCAACTGGTTCAAGGCACTGGTGCCAGAAAGGTTTTCTCAGAAGCTGACGCTCTTGGATGGGGATGGCACCTCAGACCCGGACTCTTGGCGCCACTTCCTTGGGGGCCCTTGCCGCCGGCATGCCTAGCTTGATTGTTGAGGGCCAAGGGAAGCGTATAACTCTACCCCTTCCGCTTATCAAGACAAAACCCACATGCTGCGACGCCCAGGACTTCTTGGAGCTGGTCTCGGAGTCTCAGCTGAGGCACCTGCTCGCCACACGCGTCGGCCTCGTGTCCGGGGAGACGGACCCGCGCCGGCAGAAGACTGCGTTGATTGTTGACTCAGGCTTTTGATCAACTTTCGATCGCAGCACGAAGGGAACTCTTCATTTCTCGGTTGCAGCTGAGGATTCCAACTCTGGAGAGACCCTCGTAGCCGCGGGCGACTGCTTCCAGAGATGCCGCGATCTGCGGTCTGGAGAGACGATCACCTGGACCTTCTCGGTCATTCCAGGAGACGGAGACGCATGGCTTGGCGCCTCTGACATTGAGTTCTCGGCATCCTTGTGGCTTCACCCGGAGTTTGCTCAAGACGAGCAGCCGGAAGAGAGCCAGGTCGTGGACCCCACGATGGTTCAAGCCTCGGAGGGTGAAAAGTCTGGCAGCTACACGGCCTCTCGGGACTGTGTCATCACCCTTCGATGGAGCAATGAGCACAGTCGATTGCGCTCAAAGTCGCTCCAGTACAGAATCGACCTGTGACGATGAGACGATGACGGTGTCTCTGACTTCGGGCCGTGGGGGCCCTTCGCCGCCTTCGCTGCCTTCGCCCCCACGGCGCTTCGCTCCCAAGCGCCGACAGTCGACATCTGTCAAGTTCCCACTAATCCTCTTACCGTCTGCGATGCCCGTCTTTTCCATTACGCCAACTTGTTAGGACGCGAGGGCATCGCAACGCTGTGACGTGGATAGCTGTAGTGCTTCCTCTGACCGAAAAAGTTGCGGCCTTGCAGAACCAGCATGGCCTATTGCCGACAGATGCGTGTCAGACAGGTTAGCCTCTTTCTTCGGTTAGCTCTCAGCCCCGCCTGCTTGGATCAAGCCGTGAAATTTGTTAGAGCTTGTCTCAAACTCACCGATTCACGGAAGGAATGAACCCTCACTTGGAGTCCATCGCATGACGCATCAGCTGCCCAGCGCCACTTCAGACTGTCACAGACGATCCCCCGCACCCCGGTGCTGGTTGCTCTGGTTGCTTGTCGTTATGGCAAGCCGGCACATGCCCGGCACAAGTGAAAAGCTTCCATGAGATGGGTTCCTACCTGCCGAAGCCTCAGAGGTTACTGAAGCAGCAGGGCCCCGGAGTCCTGCAGAGCCTCGTGTGTCGCGGCTTCAGGTCCCAGCCAATCACTGAGAAGGAGCCACTCCAGCGCCATTGCTCCCAAACGCACTTCTTATGGACCGCTCTCCTTTTGATGATCACTTTTTGGGGCACTCTTTGTAGCTGTAGCTTGGCAAAAATCGGATAGTTACCCATGGGTGCCCAGAAGATGCTTGCAGCTTCAAGACAGGTCGTGCTCCGGAAGAGGGAGGCAGAGCATGCAAGCACCGTCTGTTACCAGAGTGTCTGTTTCTATAAAGCTCTGCGTGTTGAACATTGGGGGGCACCTGCAGGGGCCATGTCTGGGGCTGCAGCGCCATGCAGGGCTGGAGAACCAGTATGGAGGCCATGGCCGAACATGCTCTTGCCACATTCCTGCGCCCTTCTTGCGGGCGATGTCCGAGACCCGTGCTGTGGGGCGCAATGGGGTTCTAGGGAGCCCTGAGGATGCGCACATAGCCGTGTCCGGGCTTGGAGAGGAGCTGTGCGAGCCTTGGTCTGCGCATTGGCAGTTCAGAAGAGCTGCTGTGATGAGCAAGGTCGCTGACGGAACACTAAGCCCCGAAGCCCGAAAGGCCTACATATATCATGGCAGTTACCACGAAGCTTGCGCCACCATGCGCAAGACGGGAACCGTCAGAGAAGATGCCCACCGAGGGCTCAGACTCGTTGCACTGAGGGATGGTCTTTCCCTGTTCGGCGTCTTCGATGGCCACGGTGGTGCCGAGGTCACTTCAGAGCAAGGGAGGAGGGTAGGGCTTGGGGAGGGTTTAGGGTTTAGGGTCTTGGGTTTAGGGTTTAGGGTTTAGGGTTCAGGGTGTGGGATTTAGGGAGGATGGGTGAGGAACGTATGAATCCGAGGTGGCTGCCTTCTGCAAGCAGTACCTGCCCGACGAAGTCCGCAGGCGCGAAGCCCCCCCGAGCTCGAACCCTGCCTTGATTGCCTTGCAAAGCCTCGCTGAAGGGTTTCGCTCCGCTCCCTAAACCATCCTGAAACCTCCACACCCCCCCGACATCTCCAATCTCTGAATTGCTTGAAGATATGATGGAGGCGTTCGGATTCATGCATACTGAGGGTGCAGGTCAAGGGTCCATGCTCGCAGTCGCCCCATGTGCCGGAAGTCCTTTGCAAACGAAGGAGCCATTACTTCAGCAACTGCAGGGTATTGTGTATGTTTCAGCTGGGTTTTGTTCTCACAGGGCATACATGGCAGGGGATTAGATGCCTTTGACCACTCTGGACTTCTAGCGGGCCGGCAGGCAGTTGCGGAAGCGGCTGGCAGACGGAGCCAGGCTTGGAAGAGAGTAAGAGCTTAAGGGCAGGGAGCTCTCTGAGCGAACTGATCCTCAAAGCGACCCTTTTCATGTGCCTAAGAGCAGATGCCAAAGCGCCGAGAGTTCGTTGCACAAGAAGACTTCAGCGTCGAGGATGATGACTCTTGATGACCGCTGTACTTTTCCCACAGATGCGCTGGCAGGCTGTCTGGAGATGTTCTCGGAGAGGTGGGACGGTTGCTGGGGCTTTCAGGGGTTTCGCAAGGGCTTTGCTGCATCTTGGATATCCGACTTCCATGAATCTGTGTTGTTCAGGCGCTCATCAGCTCCTTTCACGCTATGGACGAGATGCTCCGGTCTCCGGAGCACGAGCGGCAGCTCCTGGCCCTGAAGCAGGCAGGGCCGGGGACACGACGAGTATTTCCTTTCCTCCCGCAACTGCCGCAACTTCCACGTTCTTCCACTCTTCCCCCCCACGAGTCTGTAAACTGTAAACGGCCAGGCAGCCAGGCCGAGCGCGAAAGGTCGCGCCCTTTGTCTGCTTCTGTCACTGAAATGCAACAATTACATTACTTGCACTGCAGCAATCCGACTTCAAGGAATAGGGGGCGCTTCCTCGTCATCCGGCTCCTCTGACTCAGGCCATCCACGGGAGCGCGCATTGGCAGAGCATCCGGCGCACCATGTCACGACATTCCCTACGACCTACGTGTGTCGCTCCTTGTCGCTCGCATTCGCTCGCTTCGGCAGGGTCATCCTCTGGCTCAGACTCAGAGGACCGCTGCAGGGTCGCAAAGGGCTTGACAAAAGCGTTGACAAAGGCTTGAAAAAGGTTTGTAAAGGGTCTGAAACACGAAAACCTTTTGCTTCGACATAGTGCTGCATTCAGCGACGCTGCTGTTCGTTGAGGCACATGTTAGTGAAAGTTCGGGGAATGTGATGCCATGCATCATTGCGAGGCTACTGGTGACATTGCCGCGTGCTTGTGGCTAACCCTAAACCCTAAACCCTAAACCCTAAACCCTAAACCCTAAACCCTCAACCCTAAACCCTAAACCCTAAACCCTAAACCCTAAACCCTAAACCCTAAACCCTAAACCCTAAACGCTGAGAGAATTTGAGGTGTGGGATACGTCCTCCACTCCCCAGGCCGAGGAAAAGGATGATGGAAAGAAGCCTCGCGGTGTCTGGCTCTTACGTTCCTCAGATGCGCGCATATGTGAGAATTGGGCTCAAATCAGCCATGAAGCGCTTAGCAGAGCCAATCAGCCCGTGCTGGAGGTGCTGTCTTTGCTGTCCAACTCCATCCAGTCTACGCTCGCACAGGCTTTTGGGTCGATTTTCTGTCGAGAATCCTGCAGAGCGAGTAGGCTAGAGCTGGGAAGTTGGGGTGGCCGCACCAGGATCTGATGTTGCAAATGTCACAAATTTGGCAGTAATGCCGAGAGCACGCTGTGAGAAGAGTTTGCTTTCTCAGGTTGTCCTGAGTAGCACAGGTCGGGAGCGCCCTGTGCGTGACACATTCTTCGGGTGGTGGATTTGGAAGTCTGGCTGCTAGATTTCTCATGCGTCCCGTAGCCTTCGCGTCCGCATCCCGCATCCATCGTCCCACGTCCGGCGTCTCGCGTGCCACGTCCCGCGTTCCACGTTCCATCCCGACCCCGCGCCCGCGCACCTGTGGCCCGTGGCCCGTGGCCCGCATTCCACGTTATGCGTTCCGCGCTCGGCGCCCCCCCCTCTCTCTCTCTCTTTCTGTCTCTCTCTGAGGGAACATAGTATAACATAATTTCTAAAGCCAAAACCAAATTTTTCGACCATCCAGTCCGTGGATGCATCTCCCCCCAGCACCCTACCCCCAAACCCAAAATTCTCACACAAAACCTGTACCCAATACCCTAAACCTGCAACCATAAACAAACCCGTGGAACCCTTCAAAACTCTAGGCAAAAGGCATGAAAGACCCTAATACCCTAAACCCAAAAACCCGAAACCCGAAACCCCTAAAATTTAGGGCCTTAACCCGAAACCCTAAATCCCCTACAGTTTCGGGGCTTGGGTTTCAAGGAGGGCTTAGAGGCTTAGGGTTAGGTTTTAAGGCTTAGGGTTTAGTTTAGTGTGTGTAGGGGCCTCATGGCAGTCTACATCATAGTCCTGATAGGCCTGCATGTGAAAGGGTTTAGGGCCTCTAAGGTTTAGGCTTTCATGGCCTTCAGAGCTCATAGGATTTAGGGTTTCAGGTTTCGCGGTTTTAAGTTTAGGGGTTGTAAGTTTAGGGTTTAGGCTGGCATGGGGGAGGGTCACTCGGTTTGTGGTTTCCCTCGAAGACAGATTTAAGACAAGATGGCCTTTTCTCAGGGCAATCTGTTTGCGTAGTAAAAGGCTCGTTTTCTCACCAGAGCCTGGCGATCAAATGAACACTTTGCACATCTATCTGCCTGCAACATGAGTCCGCTCACTAGCCACTAGCAACTCCTGCGTCCTTCTTCGTCTGTCGTCCTCGTGATGTTCGGTATGAGTTTCCGTGTCACTTACGCTTCCGACACGCGAAACGTGGATGCATGAAGCGGAGAGAGAGGGAGAGAGAGAGAGAGAGAGAGAGGGATGACACCAACGAACTCGTGGAGCGTGCCCCTTGGGGCGGCCCCCTCACCAGGGGCCAAGCGCGCTGCAAGCAAGCAAGCAAGAGGGATGTACATACAAATATTAGCGTTGATTAGCTTTAGTAAGGCGGACATCAGTTTGTGGTTTGGTGGCTTTTGATCTGCAGAAACGATATGGGACACGCAGAAAACGATAACCCCAACATCCATGTTTCAGCTTAACAAGTATTGTTGACAGCTGGTCATATGTGACCGGGACCTTTAGGGTCTATTTGGCCACTCCTCACACACGCATATACATATATATACATACACTAATATGTATATGCATACGTGTATATTCTTAGATATGGAAATATGTGAATATGAAGCTCGGCACCTTGCGCCCAGATCCGAGATTTCGACAGAATCAGACAATCAAAATGCAATTTTTCTATTCTACTTGTTAAGTCCGAGGAAATCTCGGATCTGTAGTAACGGAACAAATGTTTAAGTATTTTAGACTTCTATTTATTTTATAGAGGCCGAAGAGTTTAAAACACATGAAATAAGCCAAAAAGGTCTGACAAGGTTTAGGGTTTGAGGATTTTATTTAGGGTTTGGGGGTTATAGGGTTGGGGGCTTCAGGGTTAAAGTTTCGGGTTTTCGAATATGAGGATCAGGGTTTGTGGAGAGGGGCGGGGGGTTAGGGAGGGTTTAGGGCAGGGGGACGTAGGGTTTTGCGTTTTTTAGTTGAGGTTGAGGGTTTATGGGCTTTTCGGATTTAGGGTTGTAGGGCTGCCGGGTTTCAGGGTCTTGGGGTTTGGGGTTTTGGAGCTTAGGATTTTGGGGCTTCTCGGGTTTTAGGGTTTAGGGTTTTCGAGTCTAGGGCTGAAAGAGTTTGCGGACGGGGTTTAGGGTTTGGGAGCTTAGGGTTTAGGGTTTTAGGGTTTAGGGCCCCCGGCACGCTCATCCAAGCCTGGATGCAAAAAGGGCCCTAGGGCTTGGGGTTTAGGGTTTTGAGTTTTGGGGTTCAGTGTTGTGGAGTTGAGGTTTAGGGTTTAAGGTTTAGGGTTTTTTGGGTGTAGGGCTTGTGGTTTAGGGCTGAAAAGGTTTATGGTCTTATTTAGGGTTTTAAGGTTTAGCATTTTTCTGGCTGAGGGTTTTTTCGGGTTTAGATTTTTATTAAGGGTTGGACTTAGGGTTTGAGGGTTTTAGGTCTTCTACGGTTTGCTGATGAGGGTATAGCGTTGGGGTGGGGGGTTACTGTAGGGTTTTCGGGGTTGAGGTTTAGGGTTTAGTTGGGAGTCTCGGGTGTAGGGATTTAGGGCTCGGAAGATTTAGGATTTTTGGGGTTGAGGGTTTAGGGTTTTAGGGTTTAGGGTTTGAGGGCTAAAAGGGTTTTAGAGGGGCTTGTAGGGTTTGCTTTTAGGATTAGGTTCATGTGGTTTGGGTTCTATCTAGGGTTTACAGGGTTACGTCGCGCGCCCCCATAGTCAACCCTCGAAGTTAGGCCTCTCAAAGGGCATATGCACTGCAAAACAAGTCCGCTGAATTCTCATGATGTAACGTTTTGGAGGTTAGGATCGCTCTTGGCAGTCCAGATGTCAAGTTCACAGCTGACCCAGTGTATGTTTGCCTGTGCTTGAGTTTCCTGCTTGCCTGGCTTCGGAGTGCGAATTCTGTGCTCGACTCCTGCGAGGGTTGTGCAGAACCTGCCTAACCAGTCCGTGCGCATTGTGTCGGGCTTAGTGTGTTGTTTAGTTGCAGTCGTGTCCCGTGCAGGCCAGAGACAAGGGCTCGCTGTCGAGGGAGGAAGCCAAGCAGGCAGATGGGTGCCATGTTAGGCCCAAGGCAGAGGGCTTGTTTCTCAACAAGGATGAGGATGAATAGCTCGATGCGTAGCTTTGGGTCTGCCTCGTTCACCGAACCTTCCCCCGGCTTTTTCAAGCTTAATCATGAGGCTCGAGGCCCGAGGCCCAACCCCTTTACGTTCTTTGGATGTCTTTGGGCTCGGTGATGGGGCCATTGGGCTCGGTGCAGGTCCGTTTTGTAATGTAGACGAATGTAGAAAGAATCACAGATGAATGTAACCAAGGACTTGGGAGGTTTGTAGGATTCCTCACCCGCATAGCCAGGTGATGATGAAAATGGCGCTTCTCAGGACTGGCGAGCAGATTGCAAGCCCTCCATAGTACAAGTTTCGGGTTTTTCTCGTTTTTCTGGCAAGCCACCGAAGGGAGGGGGGCCTCCTGGCCACTTTGGATGACCTCTTGGCTAGCAAAGCTTTCGTGGTTGGTCAGTCCAAGAATTGGATAGCTTCAAAACTACGGTGTAGCTTCCATACTGCAATTGATATGAGCCGGCCAGTCACTGAACGGTGTGCACACCGGATCGACTTGTTCATGGAGACTCGTACATCAAGACTAAGCATGTGATGTCGGGTTCGACTGCGTGCCATGCCAGGAGACTCGAAAGCCTGCAACTCAAAGGGGATAAGATCGAAGGACATTGAAGGTTGGAATGGGGGCGTGGAGCCTTGTGTGCAAGTGCAAGAGGTCAGAGTATTCTTGCAGAAGGCCACGTGTGCATGAAAAACAATCAGAACAGCGCCTGAAGTGACTGAACTGTAGACTGTATATGCTCAGCATGGTCAAACCGTCCTTGCCCAGGCAAAGCCCCATCCCTCAGTGCAGATCCGGCTGCTGCAGACAATGTCGGGCTACTTGCTCAGCATCTGATCTTTCACGTTAGCCTGTTGGTCGCGTGCCCTGTGGCGGTGGTCTCTCGTCTTGTGTGCCGTATGTGCACTCTGCTGCAACATGCAGGCGGTCATTGTCAAGTCCCGTCATGCTCTCCCTCTGCGATGTTTCACCATGATCCACCCTAAACCCTCAGAACAACCCTTGCGTGGTGAACATGTGGTGAACACGTGGTGACCACGTGGTGAACACGCGGTGAACGTGTGGTGGCGCCGAGTTGTGTGGGTCCGAGGTGCACCGCAGTTTGTGTCCTGCTCAGTGACACGGAGATCGCCCGGGAGCCCAGGGCTGCTTTTGGAGCATTTGAAACGTCTCCACCCAGAAAATCCGAAAAGAGATCCTCGTCGAAAGGTCCCCGAAGCTGAGGTGTGTGCGAATGCCGGCGACTCGCGGGCTGTCCTCTGTCGCGAGGGACAAGCTGCATCGGCCTTGGCACAGCTCGGACACTGCCTGCGCTCGATGGAGATTCCAAGCCAACTCGTTTCACGAGCCCGAGCCCAGCGTGTCTCAAGGTCGAACTCTCACAGGACCACAAGCCGAACGAAGCCAGGGAGCGGGAACGCTGGCGCCCCAGACCGGGAGAGGCGGACAGAGAGTGTCTATGTGAGAGTCCACGACTCTCTCTCGACGATGACACGCGCCTCCATTTGGCTCCATGTGCCTCCACTGCCCACTGCTGGTGGTCCAGGCATCGAAGCTGCCGGTGGCCGCATCGAGGAGATCCCTGTGGGAGCTAGGGTTCAGGTCTCAATCAGAAGAAACGAAGACTTCCTCGCGCTTTTCTCGGCGGCCACTGCTCCTCACTGAGGTTCACTACCGTGTCAACGGTAACCTGAACCTCTCACGTTCCATCGGGGACCTCGAGTACAAGTCCGGCTCCAAGTTGACCTTCAATGCATCCTGACCCGCTGTGGCCAATGCCAGCTTGCTTTGGCCAGATGCTGATGAAGTCGGACAAGTATGAAAAGTCAGTGCCAAGGAAGCAGCCGACCATGGGTCATGAGCGACAGATGATCTGCTCCACGCCTCATACCCAGGCATCTTCATACTTCGGTTCTTTTTGTATAAACATCCCAAGCCAGTTGCGGCCTGAAGCCGCTAGCTTGAGCTTAGGCCTGACATCGTCAAGATGCCGCTGAGCAAGGCAGGGCTTGCATGAGAATGTTCAAGGTCCACTTGCAGCGCTGGCAGAGAGTGCTGGCGTTCATAGGTGGTGCGTGAGTATTGATTTGTGATGCTGGCTGGGCCACGTACCCAGTAGAATCCAGCAGACTCGGCCCGAGAGGAGGACGATTTCATTGTCATTGCATGCGATGGAGTGCTGCACCCAGCCACGAGTCGCTTGCATCCTTCCCATCGACCCTGACGTGGGGATGAGGGGTCGCCCATGTGCATTTAGCATCCCTTTGTTTCCTCCGAGCCTGGTCTTGCACCGTCATTAGTGCCATGGTGTGTCCAGAGTGATTCGTAGTCTACTTCAGCATATGGTGCTCCGCAGTGCTTCACAGCACTTCCTTGCAATCGTCAAGTGCTGCGGGGGGTTTGCAGAAGCTCTCCATCCGTGCGAAGGTGTGGGACGTGAAGACCAATCCCGATGTCTGCAGTTTCGTGTTTAAGCGGTTGACTGCTGGGGAGGACGTGTGCCTGTCATTGCCTGTCCCAAGTTCATGCCTTGAGGGTGGAGGTCGACACAAGCGATAACTTGCTCCCAAATTTCTGGTCAGAGGACATCGTGCCGGTGATCGAAGCATTGCTGAACGACTGCATTGCTGAGGATCCGAAAAAGGCGGAACTCCTGTCGCAGTTATCCTCGAACCCGTGTGCACATCCCTTTAAGATACAGTAGGAAGCCCTCCATAGGCCCTCTATAGAGATACAGACTTTTGAGGACGAGGACTTCACGAAGTCCTGAATTTCGAAGCCACTCTTCCCTTGCTTTCAGAACTGCTGGGTCGTCGAGTTAGGTGATTCTGGGTTGTACTGTAGCTACTAGCGGCATGCTGGAGTGAGTTTGTGTCTCTCCTGAAGCTCCCGCCCTTGGACTAGACATGACCTTTCCTGTCTTGCAGACACATGGCCTTGGTGGTGACAACATGACCTGCGCCGTTACCTCAGCAGTGCAGGGATGATGCGGGCTTTAGTGAGGAAGCGAGATACATCCGGGTCCAAAGTGCCTGTCTTGCGACGCAATGAATGCCAAGATGATCGTGCGGCTCGACAGCCACAAGGACAAGCTGTGACTTGCAGTAAGTTATTCTAAACAGTTTACGGTGAGGAGATAGACAAGCTCCCTGCCTGCTCTCTAGAGCTGTAAACGAATTGTGCGCAAGCAGCGCGCGGCGCTTGGCCCAAAAGGATACTCCGCTGTGCAAGCAGAAGTATGAGCTTTGGAGAGTACAACAACCTGTATCACTAGTGAGCATGCCAATGAACCCTTCGCGTCGCTGCAGTGAAGATTTCCTTGCGGCACTCCATGCTCTCGTCGTTCCGAAATCATTCTTGCTTTCTTTGGTGGTTCTGAAGATCCTAAACCCTAAACCCTAAACCCTAAGATTGAAGGCCCCGATATTCTCCTTTTGGGGGCTTGGCTCCGAGAGAGGTTGTGCAAACCGAAGGGGTCCAAGTTAAGTGAAGCACCTGGCCAGGGGGCCGTGGAAGTTCTTGCCTGGCTAGTGTCTGCTGAAGGGTGCACAGCCTGGAGATTTTGATTTTTTTGTTTTTGTTTTTTCTGAACTTGCCGGCCGATCGCGCGCCTTTCGTTGGCTGAGTTGGGGAGCCTGTACTGCAGCCAAGCTTTGTGGACATAGAGGCTAGAGGCTGTGTGAGCATTGTGCCCATTCTCAGCAGCGTGCTCATCAGCAGTAGCAGCAGTCATTCTGTGCACACTCCACCACTTGTAGTGTTAGAGACGCTTTGTCCAGTCAACAGACACAGTATCTTCGCAGCCGCAAAGACAGCAGTGCGCAAGTTGGAGTGGATGCTGCCCTGCACATCTCTCTATTGGATGTAGTTAGGTGCAAGGGGCATTCATGAGCGGCCGCTGGTGCCTGTTTGCTTGGCATGGCTTTGCTTGATGCCCATCGCTCAGCTCCATCGGGCCCGTCTATGCTCAGCCTCCGCCACCTAGATCTACCTACGCAGCCTTCCCAGTCTGCCATCCAGCCCCTTCAACCAAGCCCTTCCCCCTGCCAACCAGCCTGCAGATTTGGCCGCTTGCCGGCCTATGCTGCAAAATCCCTGTCTGAACGAGCCATCTTTGAAAAACAGGCTCTTTCCGTAAATCTGACTACAAGACATTTGGTTGAAGGGTTTAGGATGGCTTAGGATTGAACATCTGACTACCCCCCACAAGTACCTTTAGCAGGGGTTCTGGCTCAGCCAAGTTCTTGTCTTAGGGTTGGCGGCACATGTTGTAGAACCCCCTCCCCTCGATGTGCTTATTCAAAGGCTTGTCGCAACCACTGTGGCTTGTGTGTAGTTTTGCGATGTTGTGTGTTCTGTGTGCTCTTCGCAGAAGTTCACTGTTCAGTCATGCTCAGTTGTGCAGCACACCGTCAGTCCATCTGATCAGCATCAAGCCCTTTCAATCCAATCCCACTGCATTTTGTGGGTCCTGGCGACAAGCCAGTCCAGGACCCACAGACTGCCCAACCAAGCCCTTTCAAGGTCCACAACTTCTGGGTCCCAAAATGCAGCCTTGCCAGCCTAGCATCCAGCCCCCCTAAAGGCTTAAAGGGCCCTCATGCGTGAGCCCACCTCTCCGCCGTGACAACAAGCGCCCTCGCCGTCTCTATGCTTTGCACACTGCGCCTCCCCCCCCCCCCCCCCAAAAAAAAAAGGAAAGAAAAAAACACAGCCCATGATGGCATGGCTGGCCCAATGTTGGCCGTGCAGAAGCTCTGTTTTGAGAATCAAGGCCGCGTGCTACCCATGCAGGTGTTGACCATTTCTTTCCACAACTTTATCTCACGTGTTTCACTAACGTTGCATCTCCCGTCAATCTCGGGAACAGATAGCTGCAACATGCTGCAGCAGGGACCTGCAAAACGAGCACACCGCAGCAATGCACCATGCCTTGGGCAGTTAATTAGCATAGGCCCTTATTTCCAATCTGCGACATGTAGAATTCATACGACACAGTGTCCCGGTTCGCTGCGCCATGGGCGGTGCTCAAGCCTCCCGGTTTCCGGCCTCCACCGCTCGTGCACGTCCTCCAGCCCACCCCGAGCCCACCCCGAGCCCACCCCGAGCCCTCGGCAAGCGCACCGGCCGACGACGGTGAAGACGGCAAAATCGCAGCCGCAGCGTGCCAAAAAGCATGCGACCCTGCAAAAAGACCGAGAGAGTCAATGGCATGGCGGCGGCAACGTGGGGAGAATGCTGGCGACCAGCTCAATCATCCTCCCACAGACCATTCTGAACCCTGAAATGGTGGCGGCAGAGCGTCTGTGGAGGCGCGAGGTGATCGGCCTGATGGCATGGCGCCAGGTGCCGCCAAGCCTCATTTCTGTCGAAATGCTTGCATGGCATGCTGCCAGCTGGACAACGACAGCTGGCGACTGGCAGCGTGCGATCATGTAAGGATTCCGGGTCTCGCTGACCCCTGCAGAGCTCTTGAGATCCTTCCATTGCTGCCGGAGTGAGATTCAGATGCAGACCATGTTGTCTCCTGACAACGAGAAGCGTTTCGTCCCAAGGCACGCTGCGTGAGTGTGGCTTGAGAGAAGCGCATGGCTCCAGACTGTCAGGGATTGTTCCTGTCGCAGCACGATCTCTTTGTGGAGCAGACTTTTGATCAGGCCTCTTGCAAAAAGGGTGGGCCGTCATTGTTTGCATCTGCCGCTTGGAAGAAGCTTGCGAGCGCACCTTGCAAGGAGGTCAGCAGTCAGCAGCATGCTGGTTCTAAAAAGTCTCGCAAGGGACGCGGAAGAAGTGCCCCAGGGGTGCCAGACTAAGGTAGACGGTTGTGCTTGCGTCACATCGGCAGGTGTGAGCAAGCCTTGTGCGGATACGGGGGGGGGGTGCATGTCTGCACATGGTCTCTTGTGACTGACACGTGTGAGACCACCATGGCGGGGCCGGCGAAAGGTATTTCATGTCAATGTTACTGTTGGTAGTTTGTCATAAGCAGTGTGGACAGGACTTCGCGATTGGGCCCAGACAGGTATTGAGACACGCCAGATACAGTTGTTCGTCTAGACGGGTAGAATTCTGTTCTGACTGTTTCCCTTATTGTTCATAAGTGATTTTTTGTAACATGCTTCAATCGCTCACAAGCTCAGGGCCACACGTAAGCGAAGCATAAGCATGCTCATGTGTAGCATGATCTGATTTCTATGTGCGATGCTCTTCTCTGTCGTCCTTGGCATTTTTGGCATGCTCAGGACCGCTCTCATCAAAATGTGCCTTCCTTTCGTTTTCGCCACATTGTTTTGGCCAGGAACGTATTGTCATCATGATTGTATGCAGTGGACAGTGGACAGTGGACAACATGCTGAAGCTTGACCTTTGGTATAACCTGAATACGATGCCCCAGGCGGAAGCACGGGCCTTCACCAGTTGTGTTTAGTGGTTTCAGTCAAATGTTAAGATACAGCCGCCTAGTCATCCAGCAATGCAGTCGCAACAACCGGTGCTGCAAGCTGTGCCGCAGCAAGGGCAGGGCAGCTGCAGCAACCCGCTCAACCGCAGCCAGCTAGTGCAGCACTGCAGTCGCAACAACAGGTGCCGCGACCTGTGCAGCAGCAAGGGAAGGGCAGCCACAACGACCCCATCAGCAAAATAGCATGGGTGTGGGCATGCGTGTTTTCGTGCAAAGGTGCAATATACGAAAGGTGTAGGTTTAAGAGGATCATATTTTACCAACAAAAAGGACGAGTATATACATCCTTTCAGCCACTGCTACAGCACATTATTCCACTATGGAATCAGACATGACACCCAACAAAAGCTTGTGTTTACGTACTTGCAAAGAATATTGCAATTCAGAAGTGACAGCTGCAGAGCTACGCGCACTCCAATTATGTGGTTCAAGGCATAATGGGATGACGATGCCAGAAAACTTAAGCCCTGAAAGCAGCGAGTTCCCTGAAGTGAATACGCCAAATCGTGGTTGGGAAGACATAAGGTAGAGGTTCCTTGTGGCGATGGGGGCACCAGCATGTCTCCAAACATGGGCATCCCTACTCTCTCCCAGGTCGCCAAAGTCGTCGGCAGTCCTCCAGCTTCTCAGGTTACGGCTGCGGAAAGTGAGAAGGTTTAGGCTTTTGGATTTGGGGTTCAGGGTTCAGGGTATGAACAAGAATCAGAACAAAAGCATGTCAAGCATCTTCGTGGAGGCAGCTCGATTTGCCTTCAACGGCGACG